GCTCGGGGGTGGTCCCGGGGCGGCGGGGCGGCGCCCTGGAGGGAAGTCCGGCGGCGTCGCCGTCGCTCCGGGCTCCTCCTGGTGCTGAGCCTGCGCCTGTGCTCATGGGGGGAAGGAGAGGCTTCGCACTTCACGGCCCTGAGCCGGCTGAAGGCTCCCGGGTGGCTTTTCCGGGAGCTCCTGGCGTTTGCTGCGAGCAGAGGCGGCTGAGCGCCAGTGCCTTGTGCCCTGTTTACCCCACCTGCCCTCCCTCCCTTTGCCTGCCCGGGCAGCGGTAGCGTTGCATCCTCCCTTCGTGGGAGCTTTTTCCCGCAGCTGAACGAAACTGTTACCGTGCCGGTCTGTTTTCCGGATTGTCTGTAGGATGTGTACGGGTAAATCGACGACTTATGGGCCCGGCTCTGCTACAAGCCTTGAAGCAGTGAAGTGAGCGTTAGCAGACTCATTAGAGATGAGTTTCAGCAGTCTTGGTGGGGCAGGGATGAATGAGAGTTGATGATGTGGAAACTATAACCTCACCTGTAACTGTTAAGAACTTCATTCAAGAAAAAAAAAGCATTTATTCCTCCCAAACAGAAAATATTTGGTACTCCAGCTGTTTTGTTTTTTAAGGAGAAAAAGTTCTCTGCATAAGCTTAAGAAGCAAGCGGCGTTAGCCAATCAACAGGACCCACTGTTCAAGTAGGAGGGAGAGACGCATATCCTTAAGCTGATCACACTTAAGCTACTCAGTGAATTGAGGATACCAGCGAAGTTGCACTTGATTTAAATAGTTGTGGCTCTTCTTAATTCTGATACACAGACAATTGTAGAGGAGGTTTAGGAAGTAACTACTGCAGACGAGGTTGTGGTAGCTCTGGCAATGAAAGCAAATCTCACGTACCTGTACTGATAACACCATTGGATTTTTCATCCAGCACAAACTCGAGATTGGTTAAAACTGGTTTTACAAACCGAACCGTCTCTAGGTGATAATGATGCTATAACTATACTTGGCAGCCTGCTCACTTCTTGTTCTATAGTAGGAGGGATGTACACACTGGGTTGTGTTCAAATGTGGAAGACAAATCAATGACTGACTGTAATCCCTCTGAGATTTTTCTCATGCAAGTTAAAAGGTTCCTTCTGTTCATCCTGTCCTACAACTGTTGTGGGCAAACAGTGCCAGTTAATGACTCCTCTGAGTTGGTGTAGCATAAGCACACTGCTCTGTGAAGTGCCATCTTTCTAAGCAGTTCGTGTATGAAGGCGAAAACTGTGTTAGTAGTGGTTTAGAAGTGACTTAAGTATGTGGAGGTTGACTTTTCCCTTTGGCAGTTCCCAGTTCCATAGCTGCCCTTTTTTTTTCTGTAGGTTGGTAATATGTTAATTGCATAATTGGGGAAAAAATGGCGTTTTATGTAGTTCTGATGCAAATTCCATGTCTTCTGGGGGTAGCAGTGATTTAGGGGGTTTTTGATACAGTTGGGATCGGACTTTTTAAGGTAGAAATAGTGGTAGAAATACTTCAGAAGAAATTGTCTATGTTTTTCAGCTCTGTAGAGTCCCTATTATCATGGATGGATCCTAATGGCCTGTCTATTGCTGGACTGTGAACAATCAGCTGATTATATAAGAGTGTCATAAATTGTGATCCTTTTTAAGTGATTCTGGACTTTTGTTTAAAAACTGTTGTGTACTTGGCCCTGTCTTTGCTTGCTATATGGTAGAAGCTGGAAAAGCTACTCTTGTAGGGAGAACTTAAAATCTTCTATTAATTGACATGAAAAGAGAGGGGAAACGCATTTTATCCAGCGACAAAATTAGTGCATGCTGGTTCCTTCACAGTTAAAGCAAATACAAGAGGAGAATTTGCTCTTCACAGTGCAGGAGGCTTAGGATGACAGAAGTCTGTTTTTTACCCTGGTATGTAACCTGTTCAGAGTCCTACAATAAAAAAAAAGTGGTGAAAGGAAAACTGATCCTGCTTGTAGAGTAGAATAGCTATGGTGATTTATATCAGTTAATGCAGCAGAGAAAACTACCTTGTTAAAATGAAGCTTGACCAAGAAATGCCTGGCCCTCTACCACTTTTGTGGAGAATCTTAGATTTGCTCTAATTAGGTAGTATCTAGTTAGCAGTTGATGCTATGGTTTTAAGTGGAGTTTCAGAATTCCAAATTTGTTGTTTTAGTAATGATTCAGTTTTAAATGAACAGTTCTTATGAACTTAGCTATGCAAACTCTTTTTGTAGGATGAAGATTGATTGGGTTTTCTGGAAGCTGTTGTTGACTCCTTATCCCTTATAAGTAGTTCAAGTTCCTTATAACTCTTCCCATTAAAATTCAACATTACAAAATTAGGAGCCTGTCCTGTAGAGTTGCTTGGAACTGGAGCAACTAGGAAAGGTTCTCCAGTGGCAGGCTGTTCTGAGGAAGGCAAGGACTAGTGCACAGGAATAACTTCAAACATTGCTTTAATAGGTCTCTTAATGAAATGGTAGAGAATGCCAAAATGTATTTGACAGTATGAGTGCAACTTCTTTTTTTTTTTTATTGCAAATTTGGGTTCCTAGCCTGAATCGGGAGCTAGTGGAAGGAAATGTTAGAAATTTGTCCTGTCCCTGTCCTGCTCTTTTTGCCTTGACAAAGAACATCTTTTGATAAGGTTGTTGGTAGAGTTAATCTTTTGGAAGGAATTATTTATATAAGGTTTTTGAATGGGACTAATAAGAGTGTGGCTGAAGAGTTTATTTGGGTCTTAAAAACTGGCAGCAGTGAAAGCTTTTCTGTTGGTGCAATTGAAGTTTGGTGCATAAAACTGAACTCAGAACAGATGAGACAGAAGCCCAAGCTGGCTTCTGTCAAGCAGGCTGTAAAGGTGCTGAAGTAGAAATGGCTTAAAGTTACTGCAAAGTCTGAGAGTTGTTTATCAGAGCCCTCACAAACCATCTAGAACTTGTTTGAATTCAAGATTTCAATAGTGCTTAACTGATCAAAGTGATAGTGAGCTACAGCTTTGAGGATTTGGTGAAGAGAGGCCAATTAATGCTTAAGTACTAAATTTTCCTTGACCTCTGGCCTCAACCTTGTCTCGTTTCACAATTGAAACTCACATTCACCTAGCAGATGATGCAGAATAGGTTTTCCCAGCTAAAAGTGGAAAAAATGGCATTGCATGAACTGAACAGTATTTTATATTATGCCTACAGGAAATTTTTATGTAACTTAAATTTATGTTTTAGGATTAACTATAACCTCTATTAATTTTTTCTCTAAATACTCAGTTTAGATAATGTAAGATAATTGTGATGTTTGCAGTTTTGCTCAGCTTACCTTCATTATGCTGGTCTTGATACTGTTGAGCTAGTCTGTTGTTACTTGGTCACCATTTAGCCAATATATTGGCTTTTCATACTGTGGAGGAAGGATCTTGCTTTTCTGAATATAGTGTTGTGTTTTTGTTCTTAGTCTACCATAAATCTTCATTTATTCATTGATGAGTGTTCCATGTGCAGTGAAGTTAGTTGCCATTCATAAAATTCTGTAAAATAGAACCTCATTCTTCCATATTTTAGCATCCTAGTACCTTCCCCCGCTTCCAACAATTACTGTATTTTATGTGAACTCTAATTTGAAGAAGTTAGCCCTGTTTTTCTGTCATACCTTATTTTCAGAAGAAAAGCACTGTGTATACCCTTGATTACTTCTCAATGCCTTTGTGTCAGTGAAATCCTCTTTCTCAAGAAAGGGGGGGGTACTTCCTGCTTATTTGCACAGCTGGGATATTAAATCTCTGTTGTCCTTGTGGCTGCCATAGTGGCAATCTTGTGGACTTCATGCTATGATTACTGAAATTATCTGAAGAAAAAAATAACAGTACAGGAGTTAAAGGAGTTACATTAGTTATGGTTGTAACTTACTGAGCTTTTTACTGTCTGCCTCCCTACTCATTAGCGTACCAGGTACATCTAGAAGCATCACAGCACCAATAAGAGGCACCAGTGGAAGTAGGAATGAAAACGAGTTGTATTTAGAGAGTGTTCTTTCTCTTTGAACCTCAAATGGCCATAGCTCGCTTATGCTTTCAGTTGAGGTTGTAGTGGAATGCTTGGGAAAATATAAATCTCAGTGTCTGGGTTCTCATTAACTTTTCTGTTTGTACTCTCAGTAGAGGAAAAGTAACAATGATAATTGAACAGGTAAAACTAATTTTTAGAGAATAAGGTACTTGGACTCAGCATAAATTGAGTGCTTAGTCATCAAAGCATTGTTTATCAACATTTAATAGGTTTTTATTAGATGCACTCTGTGTGTTTCTTATGGAATGAATATTTAACTTCTGCATTTTTCAGAAGAAATCGGTTCACTCAGAAGATCCATTTAATGATGAACAACATGAGCGGCATGAAGTAGAAATGCTAGCCAAGAAGTTCGAGGCAAAATATGTGAGTTACTGTATATGTATTAAAATATACAAATATTTAATAGTGATGCTGCAGAGATGTTAACATCAGGTATTTTCCTGAATAGAGTTGCTAATGTAGTGTCAGATGACTTCTGTACATTTCAGAGCTGACTCTATCATTGTATTTCATTTAAGCAGCTTGAAGCTGCTGTGGGCTTATTAGACAAGTCTGCTAAATAGATTTGTCTATAGGATAATATAGCATGTGAAGCTCTTCTTGGAAAAGTTTTCTTTATAAATACAACTGAGTAATAGATGCAGGTCAATATTAATGATAAATACTGTGCCAGAGGAAAGAACTTTTATGTAATTCTGTGGTGTGCTACTGAACAGCTTTTCTGTTTGGGCTAAATACTGATGAATCTTGATGAATTTCTGACTGGTTTGGAATGCTTCCATAGGAAGTTATTGTTGAATAGTAAGTCATTGCTTGATGAGTTTATCTTGTAGCTGCCAGCTGCCTAAAGTTACTAAAGTGTAGTGTGAATGACTTGAACAACACTAGGTAGTAACAAAAAGGCTTTCACTAATAAATGAAGGTAGAAATTGGAAAATGTTGACTAAAACCACACCCAAACAGGTCTCTAAGAATTCATATGGGGTAGGGTTGGATGATTAATTCTGAGCTGGCTATCAAAACCCATCATCATGCTTAGGCATGTTGATATTCTGGATTACAAATGAAGCACCTCAGTAATAAAGAAGGGAAATGAGCAGTCATTTGTATTGTTTACTATTAATATACATATTAAAATCTTTCTTGTCTGACTTATTTGGGGTTTTTAGTGGCAAAGGCAGATTTTTCTGAGTAGCCAGTCTATACATTCTGTAGAAGTAAACACTATTTCAGGCCATGTTTGTTGTGATACACAACAAAAGAAACCCTTAAACTGAACAGAATCATTTTCATCTTTTGGAGAGATTGGGGGAACCCAGTGAATGGGGAAGGCAGTTCCAGAATACTGTTTGCTTTTCAGTTGAATGATAAATTTTTTTTTTGACCATGAGAGAAAAATGTTTCAACTGTACTTTTCTAGAAGAAAACTCATTTCCATAACACAAGTTAAGGATTTTATAATGTCCTGGAACAAGTTGCTTAACTGCAGCAGATGAAAGTCAGTGTAGAGCATGAAAGCAATATATGTAGGAGGGAGTGGTAGTGGAAGCAATCTAATTTTACATATACATTTAAGCATACATCAAAGCTAAACATGTACATTTATGGACAAAACATGGTGTTATTAGACTTAAGAAAACTTGAGTTCAGTGCTCAGTAGTCATAAAAAGGGGTAAATAGATACTTTTAACTGTTAGAAAGCAGCAGGTAACAAACATAATTTTACAACAGTTTAAACTCATGGCACACTTGTATCTTGATTACTATTTTCACTTCTGATTTCTTGCCTTTCATTCTCTGTCATACCTTATGTCCTTCAGCCTACAAAATTCCTGTAATGGCAATGTCTTCTATATAAAGAATAACTTATTAGGTTAGGGCCACTAAGCATGGAGAGCAGCAAGGGATTAATACTTCTTGTGTTAGATACTCCCTGTCCTTTCTCTCTTCCAGTGAGAACCATCAGTCTCTACTTACCATCCATGCTCAGAGGAATTGCATCTCTGTACAGTGACTCAGTACAATTGCTCGTGTTCTGACAACATCCAGCCATTTTCTGATTCTTGTAGTGAGATGTTTGCTCCTTAGTTTAAATTAGAACAGGGACCCCCATGAAGCAGATACCCATTCTCTTCTCTTCTCTTTAACAGTGGTTTGTAGCAGCATAAAAGTTAATCATTGGTGGTATGAGAAAGTAGTAGAGGGTTTTTTCAAATTTGCAGAAAGTAATATATAGTTAGATACTACTTATCTATATCCATTTTAAATGGAGTCGAACAATCTTTTTAATCATAGCATGTATGACAGTACTTCTCAAAAATTTGGTGCATGAAGAACAGTCTTCATTGAAGACTTCCTCCTCCTTTTCAGATAAATTCCTGTACTTGTAATCAAATCAGTACAATACTGGATGTATCTTGCAGATACTAAGAAAAAGCCTATGAATAAATACATTTTCATAAAACAAGATGCATAAAGTTAATGTACCATTTGTTTACTTGATTATTCAGAAGTTTTTTGCAATTGCTTCACGTTTTAAACACCAGCATAAAAATCTGTTCCAAATGGCTCCCATTTTCATTCTTTTGATTACTGTTATTCTCTAGACAAAATCAAACACTGTGTTGTAAAAACATGATATTAAATCTGTGATAATATTGTACATAATGTAAGAATTTTTACTGGAACAAAACAAAGGTCCATCTAATGGATGGTAGCATAGTCCTCTGACACTAGTGGAATGTCACTCATACTTGAAAGTATAACATAGTAAGTGTTCACTAGTATTACTTCACTGTGTCTGTTTAGCGATTTGGCTTAATTTCTCCCAAAGCCAAAGGCTGCATGTTTTAACTGCCCTTTGCGTAGCTTTCTGCTGTAAATTTGCCAGATCATTTTGAGTTCACTGAATTTCCCATTGTGTTCATGGCACTGAGTACCATGATGCTGTTGTATGAAAACATACTTTGTGTTTAAACCTGATGAGTTCACTTGTGCTCTGTAGTTTCTATATTGTAAAAAACAGTGAAGTATTTCCTGTTCTGCATGCTGCATGTGATTCTGATGCTAACATCTAAATTCAGCCTTTTCGCTCCCCAGGTGAAGTGTCTTAACATTCTGTTATTGCACAGAAACAGTGGTTTTTACCTTTAAACATCCTTGTTGGCTTACCATTCAATTTTTTTGTTCTAATTTCTTTTTTTAAATGAAAGGATATTAATGGTAGGGTGCCCTAATTTATCAGTGACATAATGATGACTTCTGGTTTTGTTCTCTGTTCCTTTTTTCGTAAGTCCCAATTCTTTTCCTTTTTGACAACTCTTGGTTGTTGAGTAAATGTCATAGAACTGTGTGTAACAACGCCAGTAACAACTTCCTGAGCAGCATAACAAATTGGGAACACACTGTATTTTTTCTCAATTTGATTGCACTTCCATTATGTGGATTACCTTGCTTTTATTGATACTGAATTCAATTGATGATTTATCATACGAAGTTCAGAGTAACTGTGAGGTCTTTCAGTGATTCTTCAGTTGTCTTTTTATTTACTATCCTCAGTAATTTGCCATATCACACCCCCACCACTGTTAGCCCTCTCTGTTGCTTCTAAAGACAAATGAATACACATTCCTTGGTGATTTCACTGCTCACTTTCTTTGACAGATTTAAATATTTATTCCTATCCTTTCTTTCCTAGCCTTAACCTAGACATTCATTTGAGTAGACCTTCCCTCTTATCCCATGATAGTTTCTTGTCTTTAAAGATCTTTGGACCTTTTTTAAAGCATTTGAAGTACTGCTTCCTTTTACCAAAATTCTTTCCTGCTCTGGAATGTGTTTTCTTGTGCCTATTGGTTCTGTTCTATATAACTTCTATTAACTTGCCCAATACAGAGGTCAGGTTTACTGGTTTATAGACTCTTCTGTGGCCCTTGAAAAATTCTTCAAAATTGGCATTGCATTTGCCACCTAGTCCTGTTGGGCAAAGGTTCTTTAAACCTTAGGTTACATGCCACAGTTAATTTATGGAAATCATATTTGAGTTCTCCGAATACTTGCACGGGTACTATTTGCAGCCTCAGGAACTAGACATCTTAATTGTTGTCGTATCATGACTGCTTATGTTCTGGGACAGAGGTTGGAGGAACTCTCTTGGGAAAGGTGAAAAGCTTCAGTAAACACTAGTGCAAATAATCCCTTCTATCTTTCTGCTGTGGCCTTGCATCCTCAAGAAAGATCTTGGTCACGCAGAAACCAGGTGGCTAGTGAATACCTTTCAGGGATGATTCTGGTGAGGCTATAGTAAAGCATGTTTGTCAGAACTCATTCCTGTGTGAAAATTTTCATTAGTCATCTAGACCATCTTCAAGGAAGCACCCAAGAAAGTAAAACTGGTAATTCCTTGAATAACCATCATCCCTCCAATGCCTTATGTTTTGTAGGCTTTAGTATATTGGTTACCCATTTCCCAAATGATATGACACTTGCTTTGTTTTCAGGGTGGAAAGCCCCACAAACATCGGAAGGATCGCCTGCAGGATCTAATTGATATAGGTTATGGTTATGATGAAACAGACCCTTTCATTGATAATTCTGAAGCGGTAAGTCCCACCAAAGCAGCAAGAAGAAATAAGAATATCCTTTTTTTTTTTTTTTTTGGTTGAAGAAGAAAGGTAAGGTAAAATACTTTGTGCCCATGTATAATTGGTATAGAGCTGAAGGGCATACTATGTTGGGAATCCCATGAATGATTGTATTTGTAATCTCATTCAGATATCATTATGCACTGCAAGAATTAAGAAAACTATTCCTGTATCGCATAATTTTCCAGCTTTAGAAATTAAATTATTTTTGTTTGTGTCCTTCATTTACTGTAGACTGAAATTACACCAGCTTTGTTTAGTTTCTTATACTAGCTATCTGGATTATTAGTAGATTACTGGTGTTAGATTTCCTGCATTATATCAGGAAGCTATTCTGCTCCTAAAAACCAGTAGGAATAGGATGGTTATTCCAAACATTCACTAAATGTGTCTGAAAAAATTGGAGATAAAACAGTTTGGTTAAACAGCAGGATATTACCGCTTGTTTTGACTGAATATTTTTCAGAAATGAAAACACATATTGAAGTAAAAGAAAAAGATATTAGTTGCAGGCAGTATCAGGAGGTTTATAAGAGGGCATTTGAAGATATTTTAGAGGGGTTATATGAAATTATGAGAATGAAGTGAGTGGTAAAAAAAAGCTTGGAGAGCTCCTATAGTTCTCCTTTATTAGATGTTAGTGATAAATAGGTGTCCTGTTTAGACAAGTAAAAATGAACAAAAAAACCCAACAAAAAACACCTTACACTTTAGCCAGTCTTCCTTCCACTGCTGAGTGACACTGGGTAAAGCAGCCATGATTGCTACTGTGAAGATGAGAGAGATAGAAGTCTGAGTGGGAGAGGAAAGATGATGAAAATGAATTGTGAGAGAAGCACGGAAGTGAAGTGCATTGCTTAGCATACATTATATCAAGCCTCCTTTTGAATGTGGTAGTAGACTTGGGAAATTATAAAACTTTCTAAAGAGTTTCTGTGAACGTTGAACTGTGAGGTTTCTCACATATAGATATTGCAGTGAATATTAAGACCTGTATGGGTGCACAGAAGGTGTACTGCAGAACTGACACCTTGAGCAAAAGAAGTTCAGCTGTTAACCACAGTGGATAGCAGGCTGAGCTCAACTGTGTATTGTAGGTCTGAAAGCATGTGAACAAGTTGCATGAAAAGTGAGTTTGCTGTAAATGCTTATTGTAACTTGTATCAATTTGTCCTTTTTATTGGTCTAGATTAAAATTTCAGTTGAACTTGCCAATATTAAACTATCCTATCATTATCCCTCTACTTTTGGTTGTGCTGCTGGAACAATATTGGGGCCTAAGCCTTGGTATGCCCTTTCCAAAGGTCAGTAAGAATGTGCTTCACTCCTGCTGAAAAACCACTTGACCCTATAGGCTTACCTAGTTTCTTACTGTTGTTTAAGCTAACCATCCTCCATTTTGAAATTTTACAATACAGAACCCAAGTTGTGTCTTGGGTTTTTTTTGATTTATTGTGACCTATTACAGATCAGATACGTGCTTTGGATGACTTTCAGTACTCCATAGTACAGGTCTCTGTGAAAGATGTATATGAGTCTAGCAGGGTTGAACACTCACTGGTGTGTTAGTACTTCTCATACTGTGCCTTCTTCCAGTGCTGTTCTTGTTACCAGCAGCAGATCTCTTAAGTTTGCAGGAGCATTTACTTCTGATACCTGATATCATATCTGATATGATAAGCCAGACTCCTTGCAAGAACATACAAAAGGCAGTTGTTAGAGGACCAGATGGTTGCATCATGTGGTAGCTGTGGAAGCTACTGGGGAGAATGGTGTATTTGCTAAAGATTGCTCTCCTGAACAAATCTTTATGCCTTGTGTCTGTGTTACAAATACAGACTAGTGAGAGGCCATCTCTGTTTTGCTTTTATCCTTGTTTCTGTATAGAAAAAAAAATGCACTGTGTGCCAGCTGCTGTCTAAGTTGCTGTTGCAGAGCTTAAGGGTCCTGTAATATAGGAGTTAAGTTCCCCAAAATCTCATTCCATCTCAGATGCAAATAGGAAGTGTTCAGAAAGAAAATCTGTGTCTGGCTTGCTCATCTTCTGTGTGGCCAGCTATTAAATCACCATGTACCCTGAAAAATGTCAGAACCAGGCCCAGCCTGGACTGACTTTCTTTTAGAAGATACAGTTTCTTACACATAAAGGTATAATATCCTGGACACAAACACTTGAAAAATGAGTGTGAGTGCCTCTTGAATTGCTCCAGGATTGGTGTCCTGTTGTCTTCCTCTGTAGCCGAGAAAAAAAATAAAAGCTTTCTTACAATTTTAGTCCATTTTCTTGTCACAGGTGTGAATGCATATATATGTGTACACATGCACATTAGCCTGGATTGGATGGACTGCTTGCTTTTGTGATGACCTCTGAATATTTGATTGGTTGAATTCCTGACGATGTAAACTTTATATAGATAACAGACTCCAGGGGAATACAGTGCGTTCTGAGCTTTCTGCTATGTAATATAGAACAGGGATCTGAAGTAATACATGGTGCTTAGTGAAAAAGTGGGCAGTTTTCTTATACTTGGAGGTAACAAGACTTGCACATCCAAAACAAAGACCAGCTAGCACCTTTCCCCATGTTGGGCAGATAAATGCTGAAGGAGAACCATCCACCTAGAAATCCGTAAGCAGTGAAAGCTGTCTTTTGAAGCAGTGATGGCAGGTAGCCACACTGACAGGAACTGAAGCAAAACATGAATGCTAAGAGCAATGAGAAGCATGCAGTTCAGTACTTCAGACACCCAGGGCTGTATGTCAATATTTAATCCAGTCAACATAATCATGGTTCCACAGCAGCCTTCTAAACACTGGTGTAAGAGTCCTGTGCTGCTGGGAAAAGAAAACTAGCCTACAAATGGTTTCATACACAGGAAGTTTCTCTAAAACAGTTGCTTCAACTTAAAGGAAAAACTTACTTTTCTTTAGCTACATCTTGCCTCAAGAGCTCAGACCTTCTTAAGACAGCCTTTCAATGGTTGTATGTTGATTCTAGTAATTCTAAACACAATGGTAAGAGCTGCTTTTTTTCTATCTGGGTTCCCTAGAATACTTTCTGTAATTTAAGGGCTTAGTCTTTGCAAAATTTTTGTCATGATACAGTTTTCATGATCAATTTGATTTACTTAATTTTGTAGTCTCCAACATTATTAAATATGTGTTAGATTTAATAGCCTCTCCTCTCCCACCCTGGCTTCCCCTCAAATGTCCTGCTGTTGTGATCTAAAACTTGAAGCTGTTGAGGCTGTAGTAACAGCATCTTGCTCAAGACCCTTGAGTATCTGGGATGCTTTTTTTCCAGTGAGAATGGTATCTATTTGGGGAATGGCAGAGCTCAGTGTGCTGATGGTAATTTTTACTTTTTTTGTGGGGTTCTGGGCCAGGTACTGTTTTAGACCAACGATGTTTTTCTTTCATCCTTCCTACTTAAAGGAGCTTGTTTTACACATAACTATGGAGACAGTGTTGTTGAAAGATAAATGTCTTTAAAAAAGCAAACCAAAAAAACCCTATCAACCTGCCAGTGTCTGAGGTGTATACAGAAAAATGCCACATAGGATCTATTATTGAACATACTTTTCATGTTGGATTGAGAGATAAATTTAACACTGCTGCATTTTTTCATGTGGAAAGAGCTAGCTTTGTAGACTTCTATCACAAACCTTATCCACACTGAATACATGAGGGTGCATTAAAGCTTCTTGTAAGAGATTAATTTACTAGCTGTTTCATTGGCTATGAATTTGTATGTTTATATTACTGGTCTGTTGTCTTTGTTTATGTCACTTTGCCCAGTCTTGGAAGTTCTGTGGCTGGGGAATAGTGCTCACTTCGCTGAGTGCTCCATGTCACCTTTAATAAAAGATGTTGCGCATGCTTCTCGGGTGTCTTCAGGGTAGATCTGGTTGGCACCTGACATGTCAGATGCATTTAAGTGAATACAAGGGCAAATTTCAGTTAGGATGTTCTTTCTTTGCTTTTTATCCCTCCTCACCTCAAGGTGAATAAATATAAATAAGTAAAGGAGTACCAAAACAAATAAAGAAGGTACTGTTCTGCTTAATGTAGAACAGACATGTTAAAACTATGTATTCAGCAGTCCTCAAGTACAACTACCATTGTTTAGATTAGCATACATCAAGAATGTAAGAGTAAGAAATAATTAAATAATAATGATAATAGTTACTTCTTGCTTTTTGATAAATTCATTTTTTTAAAGAGCACAATAACTTTACAAAGTAGTCTGAGCTACTGGATGGGTAGATTATGGCCTAGGATTAACTGTTCTTTCTGAGTAGTTGAATTTATTTAAGCAGCACAAGACACAAGTGTTTTCAAAAAAATATACAAACAATATGATTATTAATATAATACAAAAGGGGGGTTTATAACATGCCAAAATAACAGATCTTTGATAAGAGCATTTGCCTTAAATGTCATATATGGTAAGTCTGCTCTTCATCTTAAATGAATGGAAAAGGAAAGTGTAACACTTTTCTACAGAATCTCCTAGTGATTCTGTTACACGAAACCTGGAGAGGTTAAGGAATGCATTGCGTATTTATGTGTAATAAAAACACTGAACTATATTTTCAGTGTGGGTCTGAGCTCAATCTCTAAAAGAACTGAGTTGAACAGATAAAGGTGGTCACATGAGTGGTCATATATTTTATAACTTAAGCTGAAATATTTTCAAGGCACTGGTAGTGTTATGTCTTTTCACTGGAGTTTGCTTAAGCTAATAAATAGCCTGACTCTGGTGACTGGTGGAAGGGTATAAAAGGTGGTGGTTGTGATGAGAACAAAATAGGGCAATACATATATATGTCCTTTTCTCAAGGTGCTCTGGTAGGCTGATGGATAACAGTATACTGACTACCAAACTAGGATTCTCCTAGGAGACCATCCTATGCTAGTCTAGACTACCCTGAGTCAGGTGGTATATCTTTATTTAATAGTCTGTTATGCTTTTTTCTGCTGTATTTTGTCAGTAGCCCTTTGTCCCAAAACAAAACCAAAAAGTTGCCTGTGCATTTTGGAAGAGGAATCTTCTTTACCATCGGAAAGCACTTTTCTGCATGCTTTTTGATGTCGTTTTGGATTAGAAAAGCAATGTATTGTTCTCCCTTAACCTTGGTCAGGAGTTTGTTGTATATTCTCTTATGCTATTTTTTAGAAGGATAGTTCTGTTACTTTATTTGAAAACTTAAAGGAAGACAAAGCCAAAGAGTGCATTTCGGTTCTTTGTGTCTTTAAGAAGCATTGAGATTGATCAACTATGTTTGTGTGAAGTATCTTGAAGCATGTAGTGAACTGTAGAGATAGTCAGTCCATTTGACTGAAGCAACCATATTTTATATAACTTCAGTATCTTGACTTTATTCAGTGAGTTAATGATGTCAAATAGCTCCCCACACCTCCCAAGCTGGTTAGAGCTATCTCAAACATAAACTGAACAAGGAACAAAAATGATCCCTGCTTATCTTTTATCTAAATACCAGTTTGACAACAAATAATGTTCGGGATACGTTTCTTAAAACACTTAGACATATTTGCAGCAAATATCACTTCCAGAACTTAATACAGAAGTGTTAAAAAGTGTTTTCACATGTGTACTTTTATAGTATAGGTTGTTCTTTGGAAGGGAACTGAATGAGGGAAATCATGGTCAGAATATCTGAACACAAGAGTAGACAATGTAAGATAGTGCTATGTACTGTGGATCTGGATTTCAGAACTAAATTGGTAAAATCCATAAAATTTCACTGTTCTTGGTAGTATAATGAAGTTGAAACTGGTTAACTTATTTTTGAGACAACCTACATTATCTTTCACACCTAAACATTTAATTAACAGCACTAGAAGCACAGTAATGTAGCTCAGGGACAATAGTTGAAAATAATGATCTGCTTTTAGATCATCAGACAATATATCAGTCTTATTTTGTAAACTTCAGAATGATTCCATAATCTTCTGTGGGACAAATGCATGTTCATTGGAGTCAATCATACATGAAGTCCTGTCTGCTTGTACTTCTGAGAATTTTAATTCTCAATCTTGGAGTGTATAAGGAAGAGCAGCACACTGTAAAGGGCTTACTGTTTTCCTTAATAGGATAATTTCTGTGATTTCATATGCAGAAAAAGCTGGTGCAAAGCAAAAGTCTTGAAACCAATTTGTTAGAAGATTTAGAAGTTGCAAGAGCCATGTTCTCTTTAACTGAGAGTCCTGAAGACACTTTAAAATGAAGTTTAATTTAGCTGTTGCCAATATCTTATACAATCATATTCAAATTTTCTGTTCAATAGTAAGCTTGTCTTGAAGGGGGTACTAGGTACACTTGGTCTGCAGGCCCCAGTTTTAGGTAAGTTGAAAATGAAATGAACCATTGAGTTAGAAGTTAGACCTTGTTCAGTAGGCTAAGGATAAACTTAATTTTGGTAGGGAAAAGTAAACTCTCTCAAGGGTTAAGGAGAACTGAATGTCAACTAGGTTTTCTAATGTCTGACTAAATTCATGGTCCTCAGCAGAAGCTGTTGAAATCTCAACTGGTAAGTTGCACATTCACATCTTACTGATTTTGTTTGCCTGCCAACAGTTATGGGATAGTTCATTCATCTGTATATTGAACGAATTCTGTATTTCTTGTTGCCTTGTTCTTATGGATCTGTGCCATATAGCGTGTTGATCATTCTAATAATCTGTTGTGATTTATGGCTTCATCACTTGTGGACTGTCTTTAATCCCTACTTTTTTTTCTTATGTGTTCTCTAGGACTTCCTTTACTTCTCCTCAGCCAAGTCTTTACTGTGTTTCCTTTTACTTGTTCTTCCCTTCTTATGATGATGGTCTCAGGTTTGACTCTGTGCTTGCTTCTGTATTCATCTGTTTTGATCCTGTACTGCTCGAACTTCACCAATTCAGTTCGCACCCTGCTTGGTTTATTAAGCACTGTGAATAATAACTTATTTTCTTTCCCTTTGATCTTCCTTGTACATAATGAAGCTAGTTCTTAGAGCTGTGGAAAAACACCAGACTTCTGTGAAATTCTTACCCAGCCTGCACTCTCAAGTTTACTTTGCACCTCCTACTTTGTGTGATCTTCACGGTCTCTTAAGCTTAATGACAAGTCCAAAACTAAGCCACTTTGCTTTCATTTTGTCCAGTTAATAGGTTCTCCTGTGTTCTTGTGCTAGTCTCTGGTATGATCTTTCATAGTTCCTGTCAACACTTTCCCTTTCTACCTTTCTGTACTGCTTGTGAAGTCTTACATTCCAGGAAGATAAAAGGTAATGACCCATGGATACTTCTAACTAATTATTCAGATCAAATCCTCATAGTTCTCCAGTTCTGGCTGTTTCACCAGCTTCCTTGTTGAAGTATACATTCACTGTTTTGCTTTCCTGGATAACTTTTTTTCCTGTCTTAATGCTTTTGTTAGACCAGACTTTTTGGTTCTTAAACCATTTTATCTTAAGTGTATTTTGCATGACGTGCAGGGGGGAATGAAATAAGCTGGTAGCTGACTGTGTGTGTTCACATGTAGGTGATCTCAAGTCTTAAATGTTGTGGCAGTTAAAACTGCCTACTAATTTATCCAGCCTGTTGAATTCTGTCTTAATAGACCTGCAGTGGAAGGCTTGTTGGTTTAAACTTTGAAATAACAAACACATTGTTACCTTTCAAGTATCTTAATTCACAATGGTTTGGCTGTGCTACCAAACATTTAGTGCTTGCAGCTGTAACTCAAAATTGACTCTTGCTTCTGCCAGAGTGCATAGCTCTGAGGTGTGTCAAAATCCTACCCTTTCAGAAGAAGGGCAGAAATAGATTCTTAATCACTGCACTGTTACTGTCTTTCTGGTACTTTTCTAACACCTTTTAGGTCCTGTAAATGTTTTCTTCTTATCTTTGCTGGCAGGTATGTGTCTCAGGCTTTCAAGCAAACTAACTTCCAGGATTATATTTGTTACTTTTTAAGTGCACCATCTTGCAATTTTCAGTATGATATTTGGAGCAGTTAAGGACAACATTGTCTTTTTGTGTAGTGATAACACCATTGTCAAGGCAACCATCCCTCATTTCTTTTGCAAACACTTCCATGACCTGCTGCTTTGATACTTAGGCATAGAGTTAAAATGAATCTATTTATCCTCCCAGCCTTTTTGAGAGTTTGCTATTAACAAGATATTTCTAGAGATTAACAGCTTTCTGGTGATACCTGGGGAATAATGTCATTCCTGAGGAGGCTGCTGGTCATAAAATAGAATTACTGTCTTCCACTATACTTAATGTTGACCACTTCTATGTCTTTGTATTTCAATATTTTTGAGATACAACTTTGTAATTCTAACTTGGAAATTCCTTCATAAATACTAAATGCTTTGCAAAATAAAGTGCATATAAGTTTAAAACATTTTACATTTTATGGTTTTCAAAACACTCTAAACAGAATGTATCTGACTTTCAATGAATGTATCTGACTTTCAGTGAAACAAGTCTCCTGGATTGGTTGTATTTGTATAAGAGGCAGTGTGATATTCAACACTTAAAAATGGAAATAAGCTATAATAAACTAACGTGGCTAAGTTTGTTGTCTCTGGGATAGCATTTTTAACAAAAGAAAATATCAGAGAACTTAAAAGTAGGTTTTTTTGAGCAGGGCACTGTGATTGGAGTTGGTACTGAATGTGGCATGCGTTGGAAGGCCTGAACATGTCAGGTGCACCATAGAGGTATTAATGAAACAAAGCATATAACCTGAAAAGTTTCTCATTAATTTACAAAAACATCTCTACTGTCTTCAGTCCTGTTTCCTGGATATAACATCCAGTTCTGTAAAATTCTGGTATAGATTAGGCTTCTTCCACTACCATATAGTGAATGTTCAGATTGTCATCTTTTTTGAAAATATGAATGAAATAGGTTCTGGAAATAACTGTAGCTATCACTAACAGGTAGCTCTTAAAGGGCCTGTGATAAGTGTGTGCAACTAAGAGAAGGTTATTTGAACTACACATTGTCTCATAAAATTTAAGGGTATTCAGTACAAGTATGAAACTTAAAATTTAAAATTCATGGAGGAAGGATTTGTTGGTTTGGTGTGGGTGGTGGGTTTTTTTACAAAATGTTTTCCACCGGTGATGTTGCTGGTATGCCTGTAAGACTGTTGTAGATGAAACCAGTCACTATGTGCCTGCCTACTTCCTGGGCAAAAGCAACCAGGGAACAATCAAGTGTAGTTGCTCATAGGCAGGTTGGGGTATCATTGTTCATATGGCTTATGTATCTTGAGATTTAATGTCTAGCATAATGTAACATATGCTGAGACAGAATATTGCGGGGGAGAAATAGTTGAAAAGGCTTTGGGCCTTTTTTTCCTCAGGGGTAGGGGGGAAGCCTCTGTGCCCATCTTCATTTCCTTCAGAAAGCAGTACTTTGAATGCTGTAACCCTGTCTTTTCTTCTTCTAAAAAAAAGAAAAAGGCATTGTTTTGAAAGTAGAAAGGTCATTCTGTGATGTTCTGTGCCTTGACCAGTAAGTTTTCAACAGTATTACTATCCTGTTTCTATTCTAGCAAGCTGTGTACTTGTATATAATTTTTCATGTGTAAGGACTGGTAAATAAACTGCATACTCATTTCACTGAGAAACACTGATAAACTCCTCTTCTTTTTCCTGCCCAGTATGATGAATTGGTTCCTGCATCTCTGACAACCAAATATGGAGGGTTTTATATCAACACTGGTACACTGCAGTTCCGCCAGGCATCTGACACAGAGGATGAAGACTTTGCAGAAGACAAAAAGCATAGGCCACCTAAAGTGAGTGATCTTAATTACGATTTTTATACAGAACTCACAGTAATGTGGATGTTGAGAAACACTTTATACAATTAGAATGGCTCAGATGAAGAGGCTGAAAGCACAGTATTATTTCACTGCATTATCTGTTTTGTGGCTTGTGTACTAATATTCTTGAAATAGCTCGGGATGTCCACAGGCTGTCCAGTCTTGTAAAATTAACCATCTGTTTAGGCAAGCTAACAATATGTGTCTGTTTGTCATGAAGTCAAAGATGATTCTGTAACTTTATAAGAATTTTATTATGAGATGAGAACTTAAATTCTCCAACTCTGCTTTTATGATTTTGCACCAAGCTTGCATGATTTGAAATTGTTCCTAGTATTCAGAATAACGCTTAAAATATCTGTTAAATAAACTCAGCATGTAAGAATAGCTATATTAAAACCTATGTATACAGTCTTTCCCAAACAGTATGCTGTTCTGTGTACTTGGAAAAGTTATGATCAATGCAAACGTAATTGCTTGCATGTGATACTGACAAGTTCTATGCCATTCCAAGAACTACTTGCTTTCTGATGACATTTCCTGCTCTGTAATACTTTAAATTTTCACATAATTTTAAGGTTCTTGTATTGTATCTGACTGGGATGGAGTTAAATTTCTTCACAGCAGCCCTTATGGTGCTATAATTTGGATTTGTGACTAAAATAGTGTTGATAACACACCAAAGCTTTGTCTGCTGCTGAATAATGTTTGCACAGTGTGAAGGCTTTCTTTATCCCTGTGCTGCACCAGCAGATAAGCTAGGCATCAGCATGAACTTGGGAGGGAAGACAGCTGATCTGAATGGGCCAAAAAGATACTTCATACTATGTAACTTTATACTCAGCAATGAAACTGTGGTAGCGGAAGGAGGTAGTGGGATTCAGTCTTCCAAGGCAGCCATTGCTTATTCTGGCTGTACATCAGTCTGTGCCTTAAAGTATTTTTCTTGTGGAAAACTTTTAATTCAGTAACTGTTTAATGATTGAGACTTGTCAGTAACTGCAATTGCTGCTAGGAATCCAGTGGTACTGTTTGCCTTTATGCATATTGAGTTATTTCATTCTGGCTTTGATTTGGAAAATGTAAGGAAAACTAAATGTTCCTTGCTGTAGAAGTCTTTTAGGGTAAGAGAATCATTTTCCTTTATTTGATCTCTTCGTCTAGATAGCAAAGTTAAAAGAAAGTGAAGATCGTGGAATGAAGAAGCGCAAGAGGAAAGATGAAGGCACAGAAAAGGAGAAGAAGCCTCGGAAAATGAAAGTTCCTAAGCAGTTGGGGTAGGTTTTTTTCTTTAGATGAACCCTCAAAATGTATGTGAGGCTTGGTTTCAAGATTGTGTGCCATAGTAAGATTATCACAGCTGTTTAGAATGTTGTATCTTTAAACTATAATACAAATAGAATTGGGGTTTAGAATTTGTGAGGGATTTTGCATAAATAAATTCTACAAACTAATTTTTTTGTCCTCCAAAATTTCGAACAAGGAATAATAAGGAATGACAAATTACAGAAAGAAATTTTGATTCTGTGATGAATAGCATTATCCATCATTGTTCTACCTAGTCTTACATAGCACTAAGAATTACATCTTCTAATGAAAAATAATTTTCTTCCTATCACTTGGTTTCTCATCTGGAAAACTATAAGCATAGCTTAATTATTCTACGTGTTTCTTACTAACTTTGTGTGTGCTTTCTTGAGTTCTGAGTCTAGCATAGAAGGATTAAGGTGGCTTCTAGAAAACTGTCACTGGGTGAAAGTTGTGTTGTTATGAATATTTGAGTAGGTATTGAAAATATATTGATAGTATTTTTCATCCAGGTGATGAATTGGCAGAAAAATCCATGTAGATGTTGAGCCTGAATTCAAAATTCTTAGCAGTGAAGAGAATTTTTTTCATGTACACAGTGTGCTTAAACTTAAAACAACCTGCCACCATTCAGCACTCTGAAAGGCAAGATTTTTAGTAGCATAGACCAGCTATGAGTTTAACAACTGTGCTACCTTCTCCATAAATACATTGAGAAGTCAAATGTAAATAACCTTTGCCTTAATGTGTACAAAACTTAACATGGAGAGAATGAAGTCACATGAACAGCAAAGGTTTATGGTAGTTGATAGCATAGTCTGAAGATGGAAGCACAAACTACTTGCTTCTTCCCCCTGATAATTTTTTAATTGTACTAAACTCCTAGATTTTCCTTAAAGGTTACTAAGGCCTCAAAAGTCATATGCATTCTAATGAAGGATTTCTTTTCTCTACAGAGTAATGGCCTTAAATTCACACAAGTCTGAAAAAAAGAAAAAGAAATTGTATAAAGACTCACTCTCTCTGGCTGCCATGATCCGTAAATTTCAAAAGGAGAAGGAAGCCATGAGGAAGAAGGAATCTAGTCCAAAACCTCCAGTGACTGTTGCAACCTCTACCCCTAGTAAAATTCCTTCTTCCTCTCTCAGTGCAGGAAATGATATCTCTGACTTGAATCTTAGGATCAATGATCCTGTCCTCTCCATTTTTGGTAGCACAAATGAAGGTGAGCTCCTGCAAGAAGCTGAAAGTGCCCTGGAGATGCTGGGAGACATTGACTTTGACAAGTTGCTTGATGGCACTTCTGATGGCAGCCCGGTATCTGAGCTGTCAGGAGAAAATGGCAATGTCATTCAGGCAACCTACACCTCTCAGGTCATGACACCCAAGCAGGTGCCTGCCCTCCCAGAAGGTCTGCCTATGCTACTTGAAAAGCGCATTGGAGACCTTCGAACAGTAAGTATGAATTCACTGGTAAGGGATTGCATTCAAAAATCTGAGAGAATGAGGAAGAACAATTAAGGCCTAAGTTGTCATCCTTGAATTGCAGGCTGAAACTCTAAAAAAATGGTAGAATTGATGGTAGTATCAGTCTTAATGGCTGTATTGTACTCAGATGAAAATGGACACAGAGATGATGCGGGTCAGTTGTTAAAGCAGTGTTTGTGTCATGGTGGAGACAAGGTTTTCTAAATCTGCTGTGTACAATAACTTGTAGGGTTGGTTTGGTTTTTCCATAATGGAAATATTAGTGTTACTCTAAGTTGAATTATTAGTTCGTGAAATGGATGGGTGTGTTCTTACTTTGGAGGAGGAAACCTGAAATCTGACTGCAGCTTACAAATCAATGTCTTGAATTTTTGTCTTTAACATAAATGCTAACTTGCCAGTTTAAAAAAAAAAAAGCAACAAAAAAACCCCCACCAGAAACCAGCACCTAACTACAAAAGAAACCCCAAACACAAAACTGAATATTGTTATTTGGAAGGTTAGTATGGAGTCCAAACTCATCAAAAATATTAATGAAAAATTTTAAATCCACAGGTTACAAACATCAAAACAGCTTACTGAAAGGGATCAGAGCTACTAAGATGTTACATGCCCCTTGTTTCAGTTGTGGATGTTAACTTAAGCTGAGAATAAATTTATTTGGTTGTCCAGATTCTGATATTAAAGCTTTTCCTTACTTGAAATACAGTGCAACTTTTCTTTACTCAGAGTAAGTTTTGAAAAAGCAGTTCAAGTTGCTACCTTTTTGGAAAAAAACCTAATTAAATAGTAGCAGAGTTTGCTTTGCTACAGGTTAGGGTAATGATAAAACATGATGTTTATCTTACGTGCATGTAAATGTCTTAGTGTTCTTAGTGTTTTTTTAATATGCTAATCTAAATACAGCCAAGGGGTTAATATTTACTAAAGTGAGAGATACAGTTTTGTCTGCCTTTGAATATTCAGGTTAATTTTGCTATGAATCAATGCTTCTAGGAAAACTGCAGAATGACTACATTAGGCCAAAAATCAGGAAGTGTTAGTGTCCTGCCCCAAATTCATGCTGTTCCACTGTATAACAAGCCCCACCCAGCTGGAAGAAAGCTTTTAATTTAGTGGCTCTTGGAAAACCTAACTCTTCTATCTTCTGCTTTTGATGTTTTCTGGAAGTTTGATGCTGTCTGAGCAGAGCAAGTCTACCCATACACTTGGGGAAAGATAGACTGTGTGTTGACTTTGAAGACTGCAATTTCCTTGACTTCTGCAAATTGCAGTCAACTGATGCATTATCAGTGGGGAAAGCATCTTCTAAAAATAAGGAAAAAGAAATGGGTCTTGTCACATGCTTACCAGGCTCACAGCTTTAGTGCTCTTTAGTGCAAAGAACACTAAGAAATTTATAAAGCTGTAGGAAAAAGGCTATGTTCCATGAATGGAGTATGATATATCTAGATTAAAAAATATATATATTCAGAAAGCCATTGACTAAATACAATAAAAACTTCTTGAATTCCTTTTGTAGATTAATGTCTTCTAGTTCCTTAAGTGAGCAATTCTGTAGTACCATGACAGAAGACAATATTATGCCAAGTGGGAAAGTAATAAAAAGGCTTTTTTCTGTTGTGAAGGTGACTGTCAAGATAATCTATTGAAAAAAAGCCACACAGTTCAGTGATGGCAATGCAGTTTTTGAATCTGCCAATATTCTCTTTAAAAGCCAGCAACACTATACAATATGACAATATAATGCTGAAATATCCTTTTAAGGTCTACCAGGGTCCGAAATGTCAAAGCATGGCTTTCCTTCCACTTTATATAAGACAGAAGATGATGATAATCCTTGTGTTAATTATGCTTTCAGATAGTGGATTTAAGATTTTTAAATTTGTCTTTTTGGTATCCTATCACTTGTAAACATCTATAACCTTTCTAATTTTTTTTAGCAGGACAAATGCTTCAGTATTCTTGAACAGATAGTACCATCCCCTCAGCAGATGAATTTACAATAGAAGGTAGTGGGCAGAATGCAGCCCTTACAGGAACTTAAACTCTGGTATCAATGTTTGACTGAAGCGGTAGAGCATTCAGACAATGGGCTACCTTATGGTTTCTGATAGTATATCAGACTCCTATTTTTCTGTGCAGTGTAGAGCTTACAATTTCAGAAAATACTTTTCTTTCAAACTTAAATGGGTCAGTTACAAAGAGCAAGAACAGTAAGTATTTCATAGTAATAAACTTTATCAAGTTTACACTTGCATTTGAGCTACCTGGTCTAGTGGAAGGTGTCCCTGCCCATGGCAGAGGGGTTGGAACTAGATGTTCTTTAATATGATCACTTCCAACCCAAACCATCCTGTGATTCTCCATTGTTACAAGTACCTAAAAATTTTAAAAGGCAAAATTAGAGATTTTTCATTTATTTGAATATTCAGCCTTGTAGCATGTTGGCTGCCTCTGATGCTTGCCAGCCACTAAATGATACCACACTTGTCTACTTTTCTGCATGCATATCCTTTTTCTAGCTCCTTTAAGTATTTGCTGTGTGGTCCAAGTGACAGAACATAAGATGACAGTAGGCCTCTAAAAATTGTTTTTTTTTCCCTTGACTTCTGTAGATCTGCAGAGTGGATGAACATTAGGTCTTACTGATTTTTTTGTAGAATGGTGCAGGGAATTGGCTTTCTCCTGCAGGCTGACATTGTTTGTAAAAATAAGAAAGGGTAAAAAGGTAAAGTAAAAACTTAAAATGAAAGGGAAGTATGTATAAGAATAAGGCTGTCTTCCCCCCTCAACACTCAGGAGGAAACCAGCCTTAAATATTAATGATACAGTCTATGGTGAGAACATGAGACAACACCAGAAAAGAGGGATGAGGTACATAATCCCGTTGTAGAAATTGCAATGAAGAATTAAGATGGATTGAAGAAGGCTGGGAAGTTGTAACTGGGTGAGGCACGTAAGAGGTAGAAAAGGAGTCTTTCATAAATTGAGAGTAGAAATGTGTTGATGCTCTTGCCTGTTTGATTTGTCAGGCAGTGCATCTCTTTTTAAACCAAGCAGTTGTAGTAGACTTGCTGATGGCGAGGCAATGAAATGTCTCTACTATTTTCTTTCTTCATGGTTATTAAAAGATGAACGTGTTAATATCAGTGATCTAAGTAGATTCTAAATAGAATGATTGTTTGCCCTAGAGCAAGGACTTTTGGAGTTAAGTGAGAAGCCAATGCCTGAGCATTCGCATACCAGTCAAGGAGTTGCATGCATACCATCTGAGACTTTTAACTGCTAGGACTGGACTCCCTTTGCAGGGAGTTACTCCAGGGAGCTGATGGGTGCACCTTTTGATTCCTCTCACACTCACAGTTGGGTGGTACTTCCTCAGGCTCAACCCTTCCCCAAAGTAGAATCTCTAGTCAAGGCCTTCAGAATAAAAAGTGTAGCTTATTTTCTCTATGGTGTACTAATTTAGACAGCTCAGACTGGGTGCATCAGAGAGGGACCCCAGACACTAAAGTTCCTGGGCAATTACACCCTTAAAATCTAAGTTCGCATCCCTCACACCATAGTCTGGTCCAATAGTAATATTCAGATTTGGGGTCATCTCTTGCATTGTGTACTTTTTCTCCTCTCTAGGCAGGTTCTTTCTCTCTTCTGTTTTTTAGGCTAGTGGTTTTCTGGTTTTTAGGCTCAAAGGGGCTCTGGCTTTCTGAATCTTGTTATTCTTTCAATCACAGAATAAGTCAGCATTAAGCAAGCTATGAGTTCTGCTTTATCATGACTACTTTTAAGCAGCTAAACAAAGTCCTTAAAGCCTTTCAAAACATATTAACAGCCTCTATAACTTGTATACATTCCTGTGCTATTGTAGTTTCACAGTCCTACCCCATTATTGCCATGTGCTGTTTGTCTTGTTCAGATGTAGTCCACAGGCTCATATAGCTCAGCTTTGCCCCCTTCCATAGCAGAATATAGTAATAACAATCCTCACCCTTTTTTTTAACAGCTGAGTATAGTTTGGTTTTATTCCAAGTAATGCTGTTGTCTGGAAAATAAGCACGTGATACAACTGTAAAAGTAAAGATACAAAGGTTATTGGGATAAAATGCTTTATGAACTTTTGGATACTCTATTGCTGTATTTTCAGGCTGCCAAGATGTTTGATGAAGAAGGCAGGAAGAAGTTTTTCACACAAGACATGAATAATATTCTGCTGGAGTAAGTGCTTATCTGTACAACCTTCCCTTTTTGGAAAGGGGGTGAAAGGAAAAGTACAGAAGAGGAAATAATATTGAGGTTGTTCCAACAAAGCCCTTAAAAGTCAATGAAGGTAGATCAGTCTAAGCTAGTTATTAGCTAAAGAGATTTATATATGAATACAATTCTTGTCATGACTATGTCTGTCTTTATTCAGTGTAAAGTGTTTTGTAGTGCCCTGTGTCCTTGACTTCATGTGCAAAATTCAACAAAACTGCCATTATTTCTTCCTGTCTCCCGATTTCATAACTCAAAACACCTTCAGCTTTCATGAAGGAAAATGCCAGCGTCTTCTACTCTGTAATCCTTCAACTGAGAGTTTAATATAGAAGGTTCTATGTTTGTGTTCTAAGAAGCAAAAAGTAATCTCTAAAAGTCTGTAGTAGTCAAAATTGTATCAAGATTGATATGCAGTAGTGGGAGTAAATGAAATTTGAATGATCATGTTCAGCATTGCTGGAGAAGTATGTATATGAATGGTTTCATGCCATTGAGAAAGACTTCTTCCTTTTGTAAAAAAGCTTATCTGACCATGTCCCAAACTTCTGTTTTTAGCATGCTATTTTCTAGAATGTATTATGAATACGAAACTTCCTTAGGTTTTTGTTCAGTTGCCATCTTCATTTTAGAGTGCCTCACTGGTTGACTCTCTTGTTTATTTGTCAGTATTGAGCTACAGTTACAGGAGATAAATCCTGCCATCCGCAATGGAGTGTACTCTCACCTTGAGGCTTTTGTGCCATGCAATAAGGACACACTGATAAAGCGTCTGAAGAAGTTACACCTCAATGTTCAGGTAATGACAAGGGGATTAGCTCCAGCATGAGTCAATTATGTAACAGTGATGAGGACAGAATGCAGGAGAGTAGAGCAACAGACAGACAGTCTCCAATAAAGCAAAAGGTTTTGGATCAGTTGCTAGATCAGCTTAAAAGCTTTTTTCGCTGTGTACCTGCTATTGTCACTACTTTAGGAACAAATATTTTAAGTATTTCAGACCCTTTATTTGAGAATGAAGTGTTTTCATCTTGAAAGCTGGGTACAGGGTATGTCTTACAAATACTTTATATGTCACTTGCAGTTGCTTTATGTTTTCCTATTGAATATGTTTTCCTATTCAATAAAAAAAATTATCTGTCATCTGAAATATTTTGACCTGCTTCTTTTAGATGAAATCCAAGATTAAATATTGCAGAGAATCTGAGGATCATGAATGCAGAGATCTTGGCACTTGCTAAGAAAGCAAACACGTTCATATGCTATTGCTAAGCAGTAAGACATAGTAGCACATAATCTTTTAGTTCTTATTAAGCAGTTATGATGAAGAATGTAAAGTCAGAAGATGTAGGAAGAAAAAACATGTAGGGAAGGATATAGTATGTTCATGTTTGAAGTTCTTAATATTTGGAGATAAATACATAGCTCCTACCTTTTGAGGTACAGAACTTAATATGTAATTATCTAATACATATATTTTGTTTATTACCTAGGATGTTTTTGTACCACAGAGTTTTTGGAGGCTTGATTAATTTGAATACTTATTTCAAGTGTTAAGATACTCATTGGTCAAGTCATCTTGCTTTTTCCCTGAGGTTTTCTTCATTTCCCTATTTTGATTAAATAATGCTTTTGAATGAGATCATGACATAATGTTTTGGGATTTTCATTACATGTTTCATTGTGACTATCTTTCATTATTTCTGTTCTCAAGACCTACATGAGTTGTATGAGAAATTTCAAGTATATGCATTTCTAATGCTGTTGCACCTGACAGGATTCAAGTGCTATGTAGGAAATGACTGATGCAGTCAATAGTACTGAGATTACTGCCTCTGAGCAGGAAATAATTTTTGTGAAACTATCTGAAACACTTTTTACATTGCATCTAATAGGCCCGCTTCGGTGTTTCTTACTTCGCAGGATGATCGCTTGAGAGAACCACTGCAAAAGCTGAAACTGGCTGTCAGTAATGTCATGCCTGAACAGTTATGCAAGTATCAAGAGGACTGTCAGGCCCGCAATCAAGCCAAGAATGCTAAGTAGGTATTTGGAGTCTGTGCATGCCCATTCTAGAGTGCAGCTGGAAGTCTGTCTCCATGTTGTTCTTTCCCTCAGCTCAGCAAAATTACTCAGCTTCAGTTTATAGGTGTCTAAGTCTGGAATTGTACAAAGTACTTAGTTTTATGTAAGTGATGTTATCATCTGACTCTAGAAAGCAGTTCTGTTAATTGAATTAAATAGGTCTTGAGGGAAAGAAATCACAAACTGTGAAGGTACTGGAGATCCTCAAAATGCTAGATTAAGGGAGGAGGATGTTGTGTTCAGGTTATTTTTGTCCTTGTTCATTGTAATTGTTTCCTTAATAGTTAACTAATTTTAGACTTGGAGAAGCATTAATAGATTGATAAGCATCCTGCCATTTCCCAGTAGAGGTACTACATGAAGCTTATAGCCAGCATCCTTGATAGTATCCACACAGTGTGTCCTCTTCACTTGTCTCTGAGGACCATGAAGTGTTGGGGAGAGGAAGATGAAATATTTACTCTTTCAGGAAGCGTATAATGAGAATCTGAAGACAGGTCACTTTTTTTTTCCTAATACCTAAAATGACACTTCTTTCTTAAGGAAACATTTTTTCTGAGTTGTATACCTGTAAACAAAACAATCATTGTAACTGTAGGTCACAAGCAGAAGATGAACGAGAAAAAAATGGATCAGAGGAAGATGATGATGAGAAGCCTGGAAAGAGGGTTGTGGGACCCAGAAAGAAGTTTCATTGGGATGACACAGTGAGGTGAGGCAAAACTACCTTTTCCAACAAGAATTTTCTCTGACTTCATAAAGGAATCTCCGACAGAATGTTATTAGTTGATACTGTTTAATAAATAATCATTCTCGTAAAGACACCTCAGAATTTTTGGAGAGTGGGGTTACATAGGTAAGCTAAAATGCTGCAGTGGTAAAACACCTCTTTGCTGAAGTTTGAAAGACAAGATCATCCTATGTCCAACCCATTTTTCACTGCTTGTTTGTCTGCTCTATCCAAATACATGATGGTTTTCCTGGTCCTAGGACTTAGAGCTTCTGTAAGCAGAGAACAGAAGTGTAAGCAGAGTTATACCTGCTTCCCAGCATTCTAGGAATAGGTCACAAAGCACTGTCACCCAATGAGTGGTAAAGATTTCTGCCATGATAGGGCAAACCACCAAAATTGGTGATGCTGGCTTGGCAAGCCTCCCAGTCCTTGGGCAAGCCAGCATCTAGAATGTGTGAATCCTAACCCCTCCCATCCCCTTTGAACACAAATTCTGTTATCTCTCAAGAGCCACACAGATTCTTGTCTGAAATTATGAATTCTCACTGTTCTGCTTCCTAGAATAGATTTTACTGAAAAGTTACATTACTATTATTTAAATAATCTAGATAGGCTTTTAAGCAAGCAGATTTTTCTAAACTAGTAATTTTCCATGGAAGACCTAAGATAATTTTAGTACAAGTATACATATTAAAAAGTGTTGGTGGACTTCTCATGATGAGACCTTTTAGTATGTTAAGACAACAGGAAAGCAAGCTTTGTGGAGTATATACAACTAGTATAGCTTGGACTGACCTGGAGGGAGCCATACCTGAAGAAGATATATTTAAATCTGTTGGTTTTGTCATTCAAGAGGCTCTGAAAGTCCAGTGTTACTTAGCTGTGTGCACTTTATATTTTTAAGGACAGTAAAAGACAGCATATCCCTGTCAGAAAGAATCTTCTGTTGAAATATTTAGTGCAGAATGTATTTCACTTGCTTTCAGACATTCTCCATCTTAAATGAGATAGAGGTCACTGAGCAAAGTGAGAGTAGATGTTTCAGCTGTGATGAAATCACAAAGAAAATGTAAAGTGAATTACAAAATGATAGTAAGGATGAGAGACATACAGTCCATTGGAAATGGGGAAGTGACAGTGGCAGATTAGATCAGTTGTAGCAAACTTGTGCAGTGGCAAACTTCAAAAAAACACAGTTGAAACTGAGCTTTTTCCTGCAACTGGCAGTGGGCAGCAGCTGTATGGCATCAGTGCTTCCATTTCTCAGCGTTTTTCTGCTGAGCTTTTAAAGGGATTGTTTCTTTCAATATAGTTAATGTTTCTTTCTGCAGGTCTCTGTTGTGTAATCTTGTTAAGATCAAGCTGGGATGCTATGAGCTAGAGCCAAATAGAAGTCAGTCTGCTGAAGATTACCTCAAAACCTTTATGGAAACCGAAGTGAAACCACTTTGGCCTAAAGGCTGGATGCAGGCAAGGTAAGATACCTGCTTTATATATGTATTCATTTTGCTGTTAAGTATTTCTTGGATCTTATTTCTTGTCATACATTTGACTCAACCGTGTACTATTAATACTGGTTAAAACTTCAAAATATATCAGAACTGGAATATTTTAGAAAACTGCATGTTTCTCAGAAGTTAATTTTCTGTCTTGTTTGCAAGTCTGAGAGCTAAACCCCACTATGTTCCATGGAGAACTATGTGCTTTTGCTTGAATTAAAGTTCATAACACAGTGTGTGATGCTTCATTTGAGGGGGAAGTGTGAGGCAGGGGCTAACTGTTTGGGAAGTTTTCTGTAGTATAGAAAGTGGTAGTGATATAGAAAACAGTTTTGCTGATGTAAGCAGTCTGATAATGCAGTGTGATAGACTTTGAAAGCTGAAATTTCAGTGCTGGAGTTAGTGAAACACTAAGGCTTGAGCTCTTTATTTCCTGTATACAGTTGGGATGCTCTGTGATGCTGCAGTTAGAAATATACCAGTTTCTTAACGGAAACTTACACTTGCATCCTACTGATTTATTAAGTGGAAGCAACCACACAAAGGGGAAAAAATAAAATGAGAGCAGTAGTAATCATTGTGAAATACAAATTTGTCAAAGTTTTCAAACACTTTGAGGTGAAAGAAGAGAAGCAAATATAGATAACAGGAGTTCTTTCCTTCTGTAGCACTCATTCCAAAAGACAGTTTCCCATCAAATCTTGTCCTAACAGTAAATGCTGGATGACACAATAGTGCTTACCAATTTGCTTCATACCTTGATTGTAGATTAGTCAAATCTGTGTTGAGCTGTAAAAATACTGTACTGAGGTATTTCCTAGAATAGTCAGTGTAGAAAATGAGGGCATAATAAACTGCTTGTGAAATAGTACTGAAAGGAACAAATGAAATTTTACACTTCTTGGCATATAGCTGACTTATTTCTAGTCAGAAACTATGGATCTAGTTCTGTATAGTAAGTGTGCTGGTGAGTAAGATGTTATCTCTTACGAAGATTTAGCTGAAGCAAATAAGACAAGGAATACCAGTTTAGCTTAACAACAGATATGGAGATCACTGATAGCAGTGAAAGTCAACTAACTGGTAGTGTGAGGTCGTCCCAAAACACATAGAAGTGAAGCATGTTAAAACTTTGTATTTGAAAGCCATATAACATTTATGGTTATGTCCTTTCCATATAAGTGTGCTGAAAATTTCCATAAACTCTTAAGTTATTTGTAAAAGTGGTTTCAATGAAAAAAGACAACCCAAAGCCAAACGAAATACCAACCCCTCCCCCTCCAAAACCAAAAACCCCAAACCAAACAAACAAAACCCACCAACAAACCAAACAAACATCAGAAGCTGTCTGATCATGACTTCCTGTTGACCAGCAAGACTTCATTTATCAACTGGGCAGTTTTGGTACCATAATGATTTACAAGTTGTCTTGTATTTATGGGGAGGTGCTTTCCTGCTTTCTGTTTAGGAAGTGATGTATTGTAATTTGTAGGGAAACAGTTACGCATGGAAAGAGGAAAAGCAAGTATTTCCTGGAGTCGTGACAGTGGTAACTCCTAATATTGCATGCTGTTCATATGCAGGATGCTCATCTTGTTTGGATGTTAGGGTAGGGATTATCATGCTGAAGGCTTAAAATTATTTTTACCTTTGTATGTGGCCTCAAGAAGGAGCTATGTAAAACTGAAAAAAAAAAAAAAAAGGCATTTAATGTTAAAAATGACCTACTGACTGTTTTCATAAGGAATTCTTACTAAACAGAGTATGTCTGTGGTACCAGAACTTTGTGGGTTCAGCCCAGAGGAAAAAATTCTTGCTTTTTTACTTAACTACATTTAATATTCCTTATAGCTTAGTATGGAAGAATGAGGTAGGATGTCAGTCATAACTTCAAATTGCACCTCATTCATTTGTCCATGTGTATCACAACTACCTTTGTCACATTAATTTTCTGTGTGTGTAACTTCCATGTTCTGCATCAGGAAATTGCTTTATTAATATTCATGTATGTAGAAAAATACTTTTTGTCCTAAAGGATCCCAAAGCCATTTCAAATAATGTAATCCACTTTTTTGTAACTGTTGCATATTAATTCCATGTGTGTCTGAAAAAAGCATGCAACCTAAATATGTGTTTGTCAAAAAAGTGTAAAGAACAGGAAGTTAATTTCCTTTAATTCCAAGAGGTTCATAATCTTTGAAGGTGGTCATGCATGTAGGTTTGTGGCACATTTATTCTGCACAGGTCAAATAACATACTTGACTTGAAATCATGATCAGAGAGAAACAATCTCATACTGATCTCTCTCATCAACTTTCACATCTAAACATATATGCAACGGAGGGTTTGTTTTCCAAGCCCATTCTTGCTTTGGAACATCTAGTGCACTGTTCTTCCTTTGTACTAACTTCTGTTTCTATAGTAGTTAGGCTTTTGTCTTGAACCCTTAAGGATGATACTACAAATTATGACAAATTAGTACAAATTACTGGGGCCTGGGATTAATTTTGGATTTTCATTTCCATATGAAAAAGATTAAGGAATAGACAAAGCACCAGGAACGAGGTGGGAGGGAAATGTTCTGGAGAAACTGGGTAGGTCAAGAAGTGGCACAATGAACTTGCAATGAGGAACGTTCCTTTTGCTCTGTGATGTTATTTGTAGGCATTCAGTAGTCTCTGGGGAGCAATGTAATACTGATTTGGAGATTAGTATGGTGAAGAAAATGTGAAAATGGATCTGAGACGTCAGGTATTGGAACTGTAGCGAGAGAATGTCAACATTTTCCTACCAGATTACATGAGATTTGTGAATACTTGGATTTTTCATAACTGTTTCAGCTCTACAGGATGGGTTATCAGTGGTGAAAAGCGCTTGTTTAGACAGCTGTTCATGATGTGGCCAGCGTTGATGTGATGGAAGTGGTGTAGGAAAATCTTGTCCTAGTTTGCCTACCTGGAAACAGGGAAGGGGACCAAGTTTTCATTAATGGTCTGTTTGTAACTGTTAGGGTAGCAAGCTGTAGGATAGGTATAGGTCAGGAGTTGTTTTCACTTCCCATTTGTCAGCTCAGGGGTTGATAACATGGAAATAAAAAGCATGTGGAGTGTTGAGATTTGTCATACAAACTCTTTCCATTCATTCTCTGTAGTAAAAAGTATGTGCAAATCCAGTGTAATTGAAGTCACAGAAATGGTACACAATGGCCTATACAAACTACTGAAGAAAATCGGAAACAAACTCAGCTACTGTATTCTGATTTTTATTCTGTGCTTTTAAAAAAAAACCAACCAAACAGCAGACTAACCACAAAACCCAAACCTATGATCAATGTGTGGACATGTAGTGTGAAGAGTTTACAAAAATCCTTAATATTACAATATTTAAAATATGTTATTAGCCTTTGAGGAGAAGAGTATTCAAAAAGTGTTTCTTCTGTCCAGCTGAAGGAGGTAATGTTCCATTATGTTGACTTCTGCTTGGCCATTTACTGAGGTGTTTTGAATGTAAACTTGAAATGCAGTATTTTTTAGCATTCTACTGTTTATGGCTGCCTGAAACTGCATCATGATAGCAATACAGACAAACTATTTACTAGCTGCTTTGGGGACACATAATCAAAGGGTTCTTCTGAAAATTCAAAGTTACTTGTGTATTTGGTCATACACTGATTGCCCATGTAGAATCCCCTTTATGTTTCTTTTTTTGACACTTTTTAGGATGCTCTTTAAAGAAAGCCGGAGTGTTCACAATCACCTCACTTCTGCTCCGTGAGTATAATACTTGAAAACTTTATAGATTGTTTATAGCATCTTTTTCCACCTTCATGATACCTTTTTTGAACAGTGAGGAGAAAAGGGAGATATTTTGAGATTTATTTGAAGAGACTTGCAATGTTGGGGGTTTTTTATGCTTTAATTTAGACATATAATGTTCTTGTGGCATTGTATTTTAACTCAGTTACGAAGTGGCTAGATAACTCAAGTGGATATTCATTCTTGGATTAATGCCTCTTACTCAGTATTTCAAAGCACTATATGCTGCCTAAATTTTGCTGTGCAGCGTATTAAATTGAACTCTGAGACTGTAGTACTTCCTGCTCTTTTCTCTTTCTCATAAATATCTCTGTAACTACAGAGCTGTGTATCTTAGTGGAATTTTACCTTCTTGATTTGCAGACAATGTTGTGTCCCCCTTAGGAATTGCCTGTGTTCAGTGAGAATTCAAATAAACAATTATGATTTTGAATAACACCCAAATTGCAACTTTTGTGATAAATATGATTAACACAAGATATTTTTCTACATCATAGCAAAACTGAGGCATGGTCCACCTACAGCAAGGTCTTTTTTTTAACCAGGCATATTCCTAGTTGCTTAGGAAGGCATAATAAATAACCTGTAAGATGTAAATCTGTCGAACCTCTTGAAGTACAAATGAGCAGAGGTGTGAAATGCTTAACTTCTAAATTGAAGGTGGGGACTGATAATCCTCAATGCTGTCTTTGCTCACATAACTGCAGTTGGTGCTGCAAAAGAACCTGGAAGTTCTATTAAATGGTGTCCTGCAACAAACAGAAGTTGGATACAACTATTTTATATTTGATAAGCAACAAATTGCATGCTTTTTTTTTTTGGTGGGGGGAAGCAACTGTTTTTATGTGGTTTTAAATAAAATGAGAAAATAAAGTATATTCAGTGACAAAACCATCAACATAAAGTGAAATTATATATAACTTATATAACTATATAGGTGACCAGTTCAGATAAAGCTCTAAGTACACAAACTCTCAAGATTATAAGAGGCTGAAATGACTTGATGTTTTGAAGTTTCTCTAAATCAGAAAAGTAAAGAAATAGCTCTCCTGATATATATCAGGTTATATTAACAGTTCAGTGCATTTTGCATCTAACTTAGGTAGAGATACATGACAAGAAAATGGATGAAAATTGTGCTTGTTCTCTTCCCTCTTTATATTTTAACCCATTTACTATTTCAAGGATGTTCTATTATTAAAGCTGGGCTCCAGTAGTCTTCCTCCTAGTTTACTGGGATATAATCAAGGTAGTAGTCAAAACTAAAATTACTTGTCTCTTTTGTCTTCTGATGCATATGTATCTCTGTTTTAGGGCAAAGAAGAAGGTAATTCTGGCCCCTAAACCCAAAGTGAAGGTAAATGCCTATTTAGATACCTGAATTTTATGACCATTTGATACAACCTGTTTCCAGCCTCTGATCCAGAAAAATTCTGGCAGAAGGGTTCCATCATAAAATACTGTAAGAGCTTATTGACTTAGTGGTGTATTAATTGCTTTAGTAGAAAAGACTTAATGTGTAGCTTTGTAACTTTAAGATATACTATTTTTTTGAAAATTGACTACAAACAGGTACTAGTAAAGTTTCACTTTTTTTGTGTGTGCTTTGTGTTTGTTTTCAGCTTATATTAAATTTGGTGACACTGGAAAAATGTATGATTGGGAGGATAACATAGTTGATAGAGGTTCTTGTTAGTTCAGTAGCAATTTTACCTAATGATCTGATTAGCTATCCTGTTCTTCACAGCATTGATTATTCTTAACTGGGGCACTTCTATGTTGAGCAACAGCACTAGGCTTTTAACTAAAAATACTGAATTAGCACACAGGACTCAGAACACCTAGACATCATAGATATCTTAATATGAAAATTTCAACAGTAGATCTTCAGTTCATTTGAGTTTACAGAAAAATAATATTGCACTAAAGAAAACTTTTTATCTACTCCAGAAAGGCTATTAAACCTGTCTTTTCTTATCTCCCCATTCTCAGGACTCCAGTCCAAAGAAAGAACAGAAAACCTGTATGTCTTCAGTCAATTCAAATTGTGCTACTGTACTGAGTTCCAGCACACCTGTCTGCACCCCAGCCAGCTCTAGCTGCACACCAGCTCCAGAGACGATCTGCTTGGATGACTCACTGGATGAAGATCTCTCTTTCCACCCACCCTCACTGGACTCTATTTCTGATGCTCTGGCTGTTATCAATAATGGTGCCAAGGGATCACCTCTTGGGTCCACCATAGACACACCAACATCCAGACCTCGCCCAGGGCTGAGGGAAGAGAAACTAGCAAGCATTATGAGTAAGTTGCCCCTGGCAACTTCAAAGAAAGTAGAGCCTGCTCAAACACCCCATTCATCAAGTCTTATTGCTGGTCACACAGGGCCAGTACCAAAGAAACCCCAGGACCTAGTTCACACTGGTATCTCTTCAGGCCTTATTGCTGGATCTTCAATTCAAAATCCTAAGGTTTCCTTAGAGCCGTTGCCAGCCAAACTACTTCAGCAAGGACTACAGAGGTCAAGCCAGATACAAGCTGCTTCCTCTTCTTCGCAGACTCATGTTTCTTCCTCTAAGACCCAAGCAGCTATTTCCACCTCCTCTCAAAGAACCAAGGATGCTAATATCTTGGTATCATCTTCTGAGGCTCAGGGTGGTTCTTCCTCAACATCACAAGTGACAAAGGTGCACCAGCATTCAGCTGTACAGCAGAAATACGTTTCTCCCTTACAAGCAACTATTAGTAAATCACAGACCAATCCAGTGGTGAAATTGAGTAGTAATCCCAAACTGTCTTGCTCATCACCAGTCATCAAGGCTCAAGATAAGTCTGTAGTATATCGCCTGCCTTTGTCTAATCCTTCATCTGGAAGCAGCTCTCAAGTGTCTCACCCACTGGTTTCTCGGACAACATCCAGCACCTCTACCTCTAGTAACTATTTAGCCAAGGCTATGGTGTCACAAGTTTCTTCCCAGGGTTTCAAGCCTCCCTTCTCCATGGCTGCCTCTCCCAAACCTGCTGCCTCTCCCAAGCCCACTGCATCTAAGCCCTCTGTGACACCCAAGCCTAATGCATCACCTAAATTTTCATCTAAGTCCACCTCATCCCCCAGGCCTGCAACAACACCCAGTTCTTCCAGTTCAAGTGCACTAGTTTCCCAGAGTAGTCACTCCAGCAACAACCCCCTTCACAAACAGACCAGTGGTGTAAATATCAGTAGGCAGTCTCCCACAATGAATTTGCTGCCCTCTAATCGCACCTCAGGCCTTCAGCCTGCAAAGAACCCTCAGGCCTCTTCAAAATTGCCCAACTCTTCTCCTTCTGGAACTGTTGGTAAAAATAATTTGGGTGGAGTTGGAATGAATGTACCTGCCAGCAGAGGCAGTAACCTTAACTCAAGTGGAGCTAGTAGGACTAGTCTGTCTGGGGGAGCAGGAAGTGGAACACAGGGTGCTACTAAACAATTGTCAACTCCACACAGACCATCTTCTGCCTCAGGGTCTCCAGTTGTAGCAGCCAGTGTGCAGGTATGCATCTAATGAGTTTATGTTAAAACCTTACATTAATATTTATCACATTCATTTTGTAAACATTATTTCTGGCAATGTCTTGATTTGAAAATATCGTAAGCTTAATGTTTCTACTAAACATAAATGCTAATACTGATGAAACTTTTGCACTAGTGAATAGGTATTTCTAGCTGATGTGAAAGGCAAGGAACAGTGTGGAACAAATCCTCACTATAAAATGTTGGTTGGTCTATCCTGTGGAACAGAATTCACTTTCATTTCCTTCTTTTTTTAAGAGCACTAGAAGAGGTAAGCTTTGTGTGACCATATTTTGAGAGGATGTGGTATTCTCTTGCATTATTGGATTTATGCTTTCTTGCATAATTACTTATTTGTAATGATGGTGGTCATATGAAAGGATGTCGTGATACATTTGTTGTCAAGCTTCATGAAGAACTTTCAAAACTAGAGTTCAGTTGCTTGTGGTTAGAGTATAATGCAAGACTTGTATTTAAAATTAACACTTGCATGGGCTTTTCTTTAGTATTTGTGATTATGTATTTTATTTTGTAGGATCGAGTCAAACTGAGACCTTGTTAGTATAAAAGTATTCTAGAAATTGTTTGAGAGAGCACTTATGCAGAACTTTTATCACTGGAGATAAAACAAGTCATACAAGAAACATTTTGACAAGTATGTTGTTCTAAAACCCATGCAAACCTATTATTTACCCAGAAGACAACCTGCTTTCCCAAGCTGTGTGTTTGTTACTGAGAGATTTAATTGCTGAGATGATTTGAGGTCTTCCTCTCTATTGCTGTCTTTATCCTGAAGTCTTAAGTAGTTAAGTAAAGAAAAGCAATATTGCTGTAAATCAAAGTCTTGGTGTACAGTAAATGTAAAAGCTTTGTATTTTTATGAACAATATACATAGCTATTGCGTGGCAGTGATGTATACTCAGCTTTTAGCAATGAATGGTTTACAATCTTCTAGCTTGCTATCAAATTTTTCTTAATGGAATTGAATAACAAGGAAGATGGTTTTTACAAGACGTTTTTGTGGTACTTCATCCTACTGTATCTTAAGTCTAAGTCTGTTATAGTGAACAAGAAACGTTTGGCAAGCTCTGACACAGCCTTCTCATTATTTTGCATACTTTGAATGAAAAAAAACAACCAACCCATACGCTATGTAAGGGCCACTGAGGTACCACATAGGTCTTAGAGAAGAGCTGAGGCAGAGACAGTGCAGTTTTGGTACTCTGGAAGGTGCCTGCAGGAGACAAAAATGCTACAGTGAATAGACTGGGAACAGAGTTATTTCTTCCTGGTGCAGTCAGTAGCATCCAGTAGATGCAATTGCTGCAATATAGAAGAAAATGTTAAATGGGTATGGTAGTCCTTAAAGATGACAGATGAGGGAAGTAAGTAGTATTTTGTTGGACGATGAGATGGATTCTGGCAAACCTTCCTGTAGTTAAAGGCAAGTAATTTTTTTTTAGAAACACTGGTCATCTGGGGAGCAAAATAGATTTTGGCGGACAGTGGTGTTGAAGAGGACTGGAGTGGGGTGGGGGGGTGGATAATCAAGTAAAATGAGTACATACTGTAATACAGCAAAATAAGGTGTGTTGGTATATAGAAGGGCAGAAGTCAGCTAGAGGTACTGAGCAGCATATGGTATCACTACAATAATTACTGTGACTCTTCATGTGGGTTTTTGACACTTGACCTAGAAAAGGTTCAGAAGAATGGTGCAAGGAAGATAAACTGTGGAATAAGGCTGTTGCTACTCTGCAGGCTGAGGCTTAGTCAGTGGAGTACGTTCAAGGGAAGATTAGAATCATATTACCTCCCAGTCCAAGTACACTGAAGGGGAAGAGATTTGTGATGAGGGCTTTATTTAGCCTTAAAGATCTAATGGCTGGCTGCTGACATGAATCTGTTCTGGACTAGTTGTTAGGCACAATGTACTAAGGAGTTATTTAGCCCTTGTAAAACTTTGTGTAAGACTGAAAGGGAATCTCCTTTCCATTAGGGGTTTAGGGATTTAATTCCTGAGATGCTATTAATCGGTCAGAAGATGAGAAATGGTACCAGAGTTGCACATTAGTATATCCTGGTCTGCTTACATTGAAGATCAGGCTAGATGATTTCATGTGATGATAAAGATGTTCCTTACTAGGAAGTTTCCAAATAGTGTTTCCCTCTTTTCCCCTTTTTCTTTGACACAGTTATTTACCAGAATATAAGTTTATATCTGCTGTAGCTCCACAGAAATTTTACTCTGAAATACTCTAAGTTACATCTGAAGAACCCAAAGCTAAAGTAGTCTAAAATTCAGCAGTTATCACATGTGATTTCCTTAAATAGCTTTGCCTGCCTTGAGCAGAATCTGGCTTAGACTTTTAAGGATCTTAGTGACTCTGACTTACATGAGCAGGATGAACCCTTTTATGAAGTGCTATCATAGGTGAGATAAATAGAAACATCTGAAATGCAGTGCTCTTAGGGCATTCTCTATAACTCTTCCTATCATTGAACTTCTCCTTTTTGAGAGAGTAAGCAGGTGTTGCCAGAGCACATTACAAAGCTTCTTTCTGTTCTCAGGCATTTTACAAATCCACAATTGCAAGAGATTACTGTATGGCTTTTTTCCTGCATGGTAAAAGTTGCATAGCCAGTGAACATCTATCACTTTTTGTACATTGGCTTATTGTGAAATTATTCTCTTTTGCCTTTATAAGTACTAATCATGTATGTTGAAGTTTTAGTCTGTCTTTTTACTTGTGGTGTGGAGTATGTCTTAAAGTGTCAGTCCTAAAATGATGAATACAAGCACTTGCTGCAAATATCGCATCTGTAGTTGTTTACACTTACAGCATTATTGTTTTCAAATTTTGTGTTTTCTTGTAAGCAACAACTAGTCTTTCTTCAGCTGCTTTCATCGGAATGTCTTAAGACCAAAACTTGTAATAGAAACTTTATCCCTGCTAGGAGTTTTTATCAATTTGCTGTTTCTATAAATTGATGTTACAGAACTTAAGGAGCTTTAATTTTCATTTTAAGCTCATATGTTCATGAAAATGATTCTATGTTTTGGTTAAGACTTCCTTGTATAAATGCACAGGTTTGAAGTCCTCTTCAGCCTGAGTCTTGATCAAATATCTAAAATACCTGAGCCTGAGTCTGATTCAAAATGCTTTCTATACTAACTTTTTTGTAGTAGATCGTTAGAATATTGAATATTAGCATAGAAAATTACTATATGGATAGTGAAGGAAAGATTGTTGAACAAGAATGAGCTGTTCTAATGTTAGAGGAATTGCTGTAATTTGGGAACTGTTGTAGCTAGAATGTTCTGGCTAATCTTGCATTTTCATTTTTAAACTACAGTGTTTAACTGCACTGTGATATATATAGACTGGAGAGGTTGTTTTCCTTTGCCTTTTGTTTTGATATGTGCATACACACCTATACATACATATGTATGTCTACATCTTCACTCCAAGTGTGGGGATTGTTATTTATTAATCCTAATTTTCAAAAAATCATTGCTTCTGAGTAATCTCTATTTCTAAAGTTAGTGTTCAGTGAAGACTGTGATTTGGAGGGGGAGAGTAATATTGTGCTTTTAAAGAATTTTAGATCTAGGTCTGATAATTTCATATTATTAATCTAATAGAATAAGTTGCATTAGATTTTGACAGTAGATCCAGTGCATAATTAGAAAGGAGATAGAGGAAATTACCTGCAAGGCTGATGAGAAAAACATGAGATGAACCATACTGTCATGTCTAAATTTGAGATATAATTGTACTTGCTTAACAGATGAACAGTGGGAAGACTTCCTAGGTGGATAAGTGGATATTTATTAATAGTTTAATACACTTTCTTAAGAGGGCCACAGTTAACAGAAAATAGTTGATTCTTATCTCCTTAAATAATATCACTCAAAGTTTTAAAATCTTGAAGTGTACTCCTTTTCTTTATACAGTCAACAGCAGGAGCATCATTACTGGCTAACGCCTCACCTCTGACTCTCATGGCATCACCCCTGTCTGTAACCAGTCAGAACGTGACGTCTGCACCATTAACTCCTTTTGGGATGCTGGGTGGCCTTGTTCCTGTGACCGTGCCCTTCCAGTTTCCCTTGGAGCTGCTTGGCTTCGGGACGGACACAGCTGGAGTGACAACCACCTCGGGATCTACCTCAGCGGCTTTCCACCACAGCCTAACTCAGAGTGAGTGGTATTAGTTATCACACTGAAAATAGAAATTAGTAAGGGAAGCAATAAAGTTCTGAGAAACTCGGATTTGGTTCATGAAAACTCTTACAGGAGAGTAAATGTGATTTACTGGTAAAACTTTGTTTATATAATTATCCAAATGTTATGAATCACCTTTGATAAGATTGTTACATTCACAGTAAATACTTAGTTTCAAACATGCTTTTCGGGGTTAACTTGCAATGCCTTAGCTTTGAAAGGAGTATAGCTTAAAAGTCTCCAAATGTCACAACAAAACTAAGAGACTTAATGTGGTAATTCCTCAAAATGTCCTTAGCTCAGTAATCTCAGATATCAGAGTTCTCTTATGAGGAAGTATCAACCAAGATGCCATTTATTTTTTCCGATTGCTTAAAAAGAAATTCTTAAGGTTTTTAACCTATATCAATTTTTGATATTTCTATTGAAGAAAATGATACAAAGAGTTCATCCCAATAGTGAGGCATGGTCCTTGCTCAGACTTTTGGTTAATTATATCTGAATCAGTCTGATATATTCCAGCTATGAAAGTGCTATCAGACATTTATTTTTTGTTGTTGAGATGCATCTTCAGAAATCTGTGCAAATATTAGTATGCTGCTATAGCTACACTAAAAATAAAAAAACCCTTCCTGTTTCACAAAGGCTGCCTCTGTTCTTAAGATCTGTTTTTCATCTTTGTTGCTCTCCTTTTTGTCCCAGACTTACTGAAGGGTTTACAGCCAGGTGCTCAGCATGCAGCAACGCTGTCTCACTCACCTCTGCCTGCTCACTTGCAGCAAGCTTACACAGGTAAAGACATAAATTCAAAAATTTCAGTACTTTATTGCAGCAGTTCTAGAAACCAAAGTGTACAATTTCAGCTAGTGGGGGGAAAAAAAGGAATACTACTTACTGGATGCTAACATGATTGTTTACAAGCTTCATAAAGTCTGTATTGGCAAGATTGGGTTTTTTCGACTGAATTTCTCCTTTGGAGGAGAAACTGACCTTCCAGCTAGGAGCTGCTTCATGTTTCCTTTAAGAGTGTATGCATGTGTGAACAGTGTGATGGTTTCCTAATGGAAGGTCTGCCTTACCTGGGAATTTTATCCTTGGTAAGAGTTGCATATTTTGATCAAGAAGAGAACCTGGAAGTAGAACATCTCCTTTTTCTGTTTGTAAGGTGTAGAGCTGAAAACCTATCATAAGTCTTTAGAAGGTGCAGTTTAGAGTGTATTCCTTTCTTTGCCACCTGTATGTCTGGGTTTTTTTGCCAGGAGAAGTAACAGAAAGGGTGGCAGTGGCTTGGTGGGGGTGGTTCATCCTGTTTTCAGAGTCCAAAAAAACTGGGCAGTGTTGCTTTAAGAGGCTATGAAAACAACCCAATTGGCTATATTTGGTACAGCCTTAATTTTTATTCACAGTGAGTGTCATGGGTTGAATACTAAAATTTCTTTATTAAAACGTAAAGGCTTCTAAAGAAAGGGTTGATATTTAAATTTGTTTTCAGTATCCCAAGCGGCAACTTAATCTTTAGAAAGATGGTTTATTTTGATATGAAGCCTGATATCTCAGGTTTCAACAGTGTTATTTCTAATAAATGAAGAACAGAGAAGATGCAAAGTCTTCTACCCTATAAAGACAATGTACTACTTGGTGATGCTAAAGCCGAATGTGCCAAATTCCTGTCTCTCTTGCTGTAAGTTATAAAAATAAAAGCTCACTCATGCTTTTAATCTTCCTTTTCTTTTCCTGTCTCTAAACTACAGATGGAGGCCAAAGTAAAGGGGACACTAAGTTACAGCGGAAAAACCAGTGACTTCTGGACAAGCAAGGGAGCTGAAGCAGTTCTGGTTGGCTGACAGAATCTGCCCAGTTGGGAAAGTGCTTATTGTCACAGGGCTGCTGTTTCTGTCGATGTTTACATATTCTGATCCCAAGCACTGTGGTGAGAGGAAGAAGAAAAATAAAACAATACTTGATCAAAGAGAGAAGGAAAAGGAGGACTGGTCCTCCTGGTCATGCAGACTGGTCATAGTTTGATCTTGCCTAAAGAAACAAGCTTTTTTTATCTGTTCTGATTGGCTTTTAAAAGAAATTGATCGTCAAACCCACAGCAGCACAAACATTTTTTTTCTTTTTTCTGGGTGAAGTCCAATGAAGAGTTTAAAGCATGAGAGGAGCTAGAATAGGTTTCTCCATCCATTGTGTAAGGTGGAATAATCTACTTCATTAGTGCTCAAAGTGCCCAGTATAAGATAATGTGTAGGTCCTGAGTGTACTGTATGGTTGTGGACCAAAAGTTATGTAGAGTAGGGATGGTGCTGGGACACTTTGCGTTATAATTAAACCCTTACACAAATACAATTTCTGATATGGGCATTTCTCCAGCTTTACAAGGCTGTTTGGCTTTAGGGAGCCTACAGATGTCTGCAGTCTCATTAGAGTTGTCTTGAAAAACAGAGCTCCTGGTACATTGAGATGTGAGACACAGACTACTGGGAAATACCTTCCTCCTTTTTTTTTTTTTAATATAAAGATTCTTATTTAAGGGAGGAAGGAGATGGAAATTCCTTAATTTACATGAAAAAGAAACCCACACTTTATTGGTCAGACTAGCATTTCTTTCCCACATTTTTTTTTAAAGGCACACTAATTTTTTCAGTCCTCTGATTTGTTAAACTTTCTTTTCCTTTGCTTTGTGCTTATCTGCTACTGAAGCTAAGTAACGTTCTATTCATGTTTTCTATAAAATACAACCAGTTCTTTACTCATTCTAGATCTTCCTCATCTTTCATCTAACTCCTCCCAAAAGTCATATGTTATACTGATTTGCTAGTTAAAGAAAGCTGTTTGTGACCTGTTCCAGAGCCAGGTTAATACTACTTCAGGCATTAGCCAAAGAGGAGTCGTTCAAAAGCGACCAGAGGTGCCTTCTCTTCTGGGGGCTGAATGGGTTGTCTCCAGCATTTCCAGCCCCTGCTAGCCTGTGGAGTTCCTGACCTGAACTCTTCCTTACATGGTAGCACAAGACTGCGAAGCTGGCTTTTAATTTTTTTTTTTTTAGATAGCAATACATCGACTGATTCATTTGTAAGGTTAGGAAGTATCCAGCACGTGCTGCACTTTTGACACTAGGATGGAACTTTGCTGTTGAGTCCCTTGTACTGTCAGATAAAAAGTGAGAATGGCAGAAAGTGAAATAAGTAATAGGAGAAAGGAGCAAATAAAATAGTGTGGTGCCCTTCTTCGGCCCCTAAACATTCCTTTGATCAGAGATGCTGAAATTCCTAGTATCTAGTCTTTCCAGTAGTTTGATTTGGGATTGAACCAGTGACTACTGGTTATCTCACACCTTCCAGAGAGACTTTGACCCGTGGATAATGAATCTTCAATGTTTTTTGCTAGATTAACTTAAAGCTTTCAGGTTTCTTTTACATGTGATTTATTTTTCTTAGACCAGACAACAATTTCTTTTCTATTTAGAGCTCATTTTAATTTTATATAAATATATATACGTGAATTAAAATAATATATATTGTGTATTTAGTATAAAAATGTTGGGTTGAGCTCAGCAATAAATGTTTTTGCACAACACTTCTGTGAAAGACAGATTGAATTAAAATAAGATGCATTAGTTCATTAACTTCCCTTCACAGCATCTGCCAATTAAATGCTTTTTAGCTAGTGCTAATGTTTTGTATGTGGTGTGTTGATTAGATAAGCTTGCATCTCCATCAGCAAGGTTATTTAGGGTTGAAACATACAGCTATATAGACTCTGTCATTCTTAATACTGTGCAAATGCTGTCAAAATACCATAAACTATTTAGAATGCAAGCTTAATCTGATTTTTTTTTTCTCTTTCTCAAGGAAGGGTTGAAGGAAGACAACTTCTGTTTTTTGAGGCCTAACAGTTCTGGCAGGATGTTAATTCTCTGAACTGTGTCATACTTTTTAACAATGCATGTAGCTAAGGGAGTTGCAGCAGGGAGCCATCAGGCAGCAATATTAAAGACCCTATCCTAAGAGAGTTCTACCTCTTCTGTGTTATCCTCATCAAGGCATCTCATTCAAATTGCCATCTTTTGTCTTCATACTTAAAGAAATTTTAGATTGGGAGACTTGGAGCCCTTTATCTACAGCACAAATTTCCTTTCAGCATTCCTCTCTTCCTGGAAGTATGCCTCATCTTCATTCAAGGAGTATCTTCTCTAAATCTTAAGGAGGGTAGGAGTAGTCCTGTCTGTGTGGCCTATTGAGCTTCTCAGTCTTGAGAAACAAGTAAACTAATACTTATTGTGGAGATAGGTAGTAGGATGATGAGAATAAAGATGACCATACATTGTTCATGAAGCCAGTTCAGACAGCCCCCCAGAGGGTAACTGTTTTCAGTCATTACATTCCTGAGCTGCTTTGGAATCAGCAGCATAGCAATTATTCCCTTTTGACTATTCTCTGGTTAAACCTAGCAAGGCCAAATCAAAGGAAATAATAGTGTGGAAATAATTGTGTAGCTCCTGGAGACCTTTGCAGGTAGCATAAACTGAATGGGAAAGTGAAAGATTTCTGCAACGTCCAAATGCAAATTAGGTTAATGTTTTACTATTTTCTGCACAGCAGCTCTTCTAAAGATGTTCTCCCCTAAGTTTTTACTACTTTTTAAGGGCCTTTGTTAATAAATAAACTGTAGTTGTACATACTAAATAACCCTCAGTATTCACAAGCAATAAGAAAGCCAAGTAAAGCTGTCTTTTCCAGGCAGTAGGGCTGACCTTGGTTTGGGGACTGTATATGAGCTAACATGTAAAGCTCACTGAGAGCCCCAAACAAATGCAAGCAATAATTTCAAACATAGGTTTTAGATGTTAAAACCATCTGGGTAATATGTTCTGCTACATGATCCAAAGTCCCAAAGTTATGGTAGCTATTCTAAATCCTTGCAAGACACTTGCAAAGAGAGAAAGCAGGCTAGATTAAAAACAGGCTGCGAAGTTTCCTGGTACCTTGGACTATAACTGCAGTGTTCTCCCACTCCAAGATGCAAATGGCCAAATCACTTTGTCCAGCCTTCTCTGTTGATTTGGGATACATGATTAATACAGATAACTAAGTCACAAGTGTGGATGCTGTGGGTTTCACATCTGTTTTCTGCTAATCAGAAGTAACTTTTAATTACTTGGGTTCTGCTTCTTGTTTGAATCCGATCAAAGTTGTCTGATGCACAGATTTGGGGGTGGGACAGGTGCCAAGAGCCTGTTTCCTTCCTGCAGTCCCATCACCTGACCCTTCCTCCACACTCCTTCTCCACTTGGTGCAAGACCCTTGAGGACATGAAAACAGAGAAATCCTGCAACTCTCCCAAGCTGCCATCAGTTGTGTGAACCATTAACCCTCTGGGAGTCATCTTGGACTCCAGTTAACTTTATCACATTTGCTGCTACATTCATAAAATGAACTTTTGGCTGTATTTATTAGCAAATTTTAATCTAGTTTACAAATTTTTGTTTTCTTTTGAGTAGTTTTTGCCCACAGATGGTTTAGAAGTGTTGGGGTGTTTGGGTTGTGGGGGGTTTTTTTTTGGTTGTTGGGGTTTTTTTGAGTGAATTGGTGAAGGCACAGTGGTCCCTCTTCTGCTTTTGTTTCGGATTTTGAATATGGCATTGCAGGGGAAACCTGAAGCCAAGCCAAGCTGTGGAAGGCTTCCTCCCACACCTGACTTTCATCTTTTGCTGAATCAGGGGGGAAATCATTAAAGGGACACTTGCTTTTTGTTTGGATTTGGTGGGTTTTTTCCATAAAATGAACCAGAAGGTGAAAGCAGAGGTAAATGATTAATTAACACTTTATGCAACTTTAATTTTATAGAAATTAAAAAAAAGGTTGGTAGATTTTGATTGGTCCTAGCTCTGGTGAAATGGCTGTTACCCTCCATGACTTACTTGATTCAGGCCTTTGTCCTTTGTTTAAGTGCCTTTTTTTTTTTTTTTAAATTTTATTTCCCTACCCTCTTAAACTGTTCTCAGAGATCCTGAAGTGCTGGAAGGCATTTTGGAAGAAAATCTTAAGCTTGCCAAGATGGCTTTATGCTGTTAAACTATTTTTTCCCCCTTTTGTAAAGGAAAAAGTGTGTAACGTGTGTAACTTCATAGCTGCTGTACCATGGCGTTGGTTCTGTGTGCTTGTGCATTCTTTCTCTCTCACACTCACACACATACATATACAGCAATATTCCTGAGAAACCTCTTCATCCTTCTACATTTGGCTGGCTCTGTTAAACACTTAAAAGGTGAACATTTGTGCAAAGATGGCAGTACAATAAAAGAGTGTGTGTGTGTGAGCGTGCATAAATGTGTATGAGAGAAATGAAGTGGCTAGTGGGAATGAAACTTCTTGCATTTTTCTCTGAAGGTGTTAGATCTGGATATTAATTAGATTGAGTAAAACATTATGGGCCTTGTCTGACAACCTTATTAAATACTGGACCACTTTACACAGTTACTGAGTCTCAGGCAAAGATGTGTGGCTGACAACCCCAAGGAGGTGGGGGGAAAGAAGGTTAAAATAGCAGCTTGCAACAAGTTTGAGTTGAGATGAATTGCAAGGAAATTTGTGTGCAGCTAGTCACATCTGCTTGACACCAGTTATTGCAAGGATTCTCATTTACCAAAGCTGTCGTATTCTACCATGCATCCATCATACGCAAGAAGGAATTTGGTAAAACCTGCAAGAGTGCAGCTGCTAGTTGAAGTAAAACCTGGCTGCCTAAATCATTCACCATTAAGTACTTTCCTAGTTGTACTTTTTCTCAATTCATTGAGATTAATGGTTTGTTCTCTTAATATAAAACAAACAGTAAGTTCATGTGTTGTTAACTGCAAGTGAGCCACCATAATATGTCTGCTTGATTCCTTGTTATCTAGCAAAATTAGCAATCTGCAATAGATCATCTAATGATTTTTAACAATCTGTGCCTAGGATCTAACTTACTATAAACATGCATACCTGAAATTAGGAATTCACTTGTTGGCCAATTGTTAAACTTGAGGTAATGTATGTATGTGTCACTAGACTCTGCTAGTTCTGTGATGTGCTTCCCCTGGGAAAGATCTAATTTTGAGTTGCAATATGAAAAGGAAGCATTTACGTTCTAGAATGGGCATAAAATGGGAAGTCTTTCATAGGTGGAGAATCCATCTAGAGAGAAGAAAATAAGATATGAAATACAACATGTTCCCATGGTAGAGAACAGCCCAACTATTACAGTTCTTAGCTTGTCTTCACATGTTTGAGTGAACCTGTTTATGTAAACTAGGCCATAGGCGGATCTCTTCTACCAGTCTGATGGTGCCAGTTAAAGATAGGATTATTGCTGGTAGCTCAGCCAGATGGAGTGATAGTGAGGGTGCTTATTAATCTGCCTTAGGTGCATCAGTGGAGTTTGCCACAGTCAGCAGAACTGATTTGACTCTTCTGTTGCTGTTTAATTCATTTTGGGCACACATGCTCTTTATCCTAGGCTGATCTGTGAGATGGGGAATCTGCAGATGGTGATAATGGTTGACTGTTGCAGTCTTCTTTTTTTTTTTTTTTAACAAATTCAGCTGTTGTGAAAATCTGTCTCTGTCTACTCCTTAAGAAATCACTGCCAAAATAAGCAGCCAGAAGTATGCTTACTGGGCCACTGGAAAGATAACCATTGTGTAGGGAAATGCATTGTTTGTGGAAACTTCTGGTGTGGTTTCATCCTTTTTTTCTACGACCTGGTGATCCCTTGCTGCTGTAATAGCCTTTTGGGGCCATAAAAAGCCCTGCTGCTGCTATGAGTTATGCTGAGAGATCAGCATGGCCTGGAACTGGCCCAAAACTGGGGAAGTACAAAGATTCCCTACAGCTGTTTTTGCACACTCATCGTAAATAAAACTGTGCTAATCTTGTCAGTAGTCAAGGATATAGGTCTGTATTTTGTAGCCATTTTTGACAGCTATAATTCTACAGAGCAAGTCTGGAAAAAAACCCATGTTTTATATCTAGAAGTGAATTTCAGTCTCTTCCCTTGCCATCATCTCCTGCTTAAATAATGACCATTAACTAGAAGTTTTTCTTTATAGTGAAGTAATCCAAAGCAAGCAGTGTATACTGTTTAACTCTTATCATGCTCAATACTAAGAGGTTTTGGGTTGCGGTTTGTTTTGGTTTTTTTTTCTGCCCAGCAGATGTATTTTATCAACAGATACTGTTTGTTACTGTCTAGTACCAAGAGAAGAAGGAAGGGAGATAATCAACCAAAACCAATCAGGAGATACTACCATCGTAGGCCAAACCAAGTAGCTGCTAAGGCAGCCAGAGTTTTTTTGAGACTTACCAGATTTCATGAGAGGAGCAGGGAATGGGGGAAGAAACTTTCTTGTGTTCTCAGCTTTTTCCAGATAAGGCCTTAGTTTAATTAGTAGTCACTAATATCAACTATGCAGATAAGTATTTGTGTTTCAGTGTTACATGCGTTCCTTCCCCCAGCTACCCCTCTTAACACATGTTGGAAGTTTTACCCAAAGAAAATGGAATATTTTTTGAATGTCTGTACTGCAGAAGTCTTTTTTGCTAATGTGAAGAAAGAAATTTGTATTTTAAAAAACCCCTTTCTCTGGTACAACACCTAGGGTCAAGTGTCATGAAGCTGCTTCAAGAGGGAAACTAAAACCACTTCTTGTGACAGGTTTTACTCAGTTTTTTAGAATACTCAGCTCTCAAAAATGGGTTAAGAAGTCGCAGCAATGTGGTTGTTTTTTTTTTTTTTAATGTACAGATTGGATTTGGGGAGAAACTAATGAGACATGCCAGGTTTCCTTCAAGTATCAGAAGTGAATTAAATCAATTTCTTGCTTAAATGAAGTTGCTTCTAAACAAGGGGAGTTATCAGCTACACAGTAGCTAGGTCTTTAAATAAAAGCTAAATTGTGATCCCCCGATATTTCTTGCTTATCTTTTAGTCTTGTTGTATGTAACTGCAAATGACAATTTAGCTCAGAGGTGAGAACTGTAGTGTGTGTTTTATTGCCGGTGATTCCATCATGTAGCAATTAGTACCATGTTCTTGCATAGTTCTCAAGATCCATACTGAAAATAGATGAAATTTTTATTTTTGGACTACTGCTTTAAAAATTACAAAATTAACTACTAGTTTTTACCCCAAAAGTCTACTGAGCAGCATTATATTTTAGCAGTTAAACTAGTACACTTGCTATGTGATTTGTTGCTTGTAGTCGTCTTTTACTGAGGGTTAGAAGCATTTCATAAGTAATCCTTAAAATCTCTATCTTAAAGTCAAATGCTTGTAATAAAAGGGCATCTGTGATAACTTCTGATGTTACAAAAGCACTATGTTCAGAATGTTTCCTTGGGGAAAATAACCAGGTGTGGGTGCAAGTCCCTTTAGTTCTGCCTGATAAGGAGTCTCAGTCAAGAGCAGAGCTTCCAAATACCTGCCTGCACAGCTAATGGTAGTGGGCATCATCCCCTCGACAGAAGTTTGGCCTCAGTATCCTTTGTTTGATGTCACTTTTAGTATATATACATATGTATTTTAGCAAGTTTGGATATAGCCAGCTTAACTGTACCTGACTTGCTGTGATCCCCAAGACAATAAAAGGCTGAGAAACAGTTGGACAAAGTGTTCTCCAGCCTTTCTCTAGGTAGCTCAGGACAAAGAGCTGGCTAAGTCTCCAGTTACAAATGCTAAGTCACAGCTAGAATTCTTTGCATTCCTCGGCTTCAAGCAAAGGAGTGCACAGTTACTACAAGATGGCAAACCTGTTTGAGTTGGTGATTCCTGTGATGCTTTTACTCAGTCCAGCATGAATTTATACAAGGTCACCTTCCTCTTTTTAATACTCACATATTTCAGATCATAGGGCTTAGTGATGGAGAGAGGATCCTAACAGCTGTGTGCTTACGTGATGAGCTCTCCAGAGAAACTTCCCTGTGAAATGCTTCCCTCTTGTGACAACAAGCCTGAGCAACCAAATGCAGCTACATTTGGGTGGTTAACACCACACTTTCATTTGAATTTTTAGGGAGGTATATTCCAATAACTTCAAGGGATACTGTGTTTTAAATGTGTGATTTCTTTCCTCTCTCCTTATAAAACTGGACCTGAACACAAGTTTTGAGTTGTTGGGTTTTTTGTAATAATCTCAGGACCTGAAAGATTGTAGCATTTAGTGTGTCTTAAAAATGATGTACTGTACCAGCCATGGATTTTGTAAATACACCTGTCTCCCTTTTTTGTATTTTAATTTTTTAAAAGTGTGTGAGGCTCTTTGCCAGAGGAACTGGTGCCTGCTTAATTTCCATCCTGAACTGAAGCAGGAAAAGGAAGAAGCTGCTGCCACAAAAGCCTGCATCAGTTCCAAATGTGTATATTGTTCTGGTCAGTTTAATGGCTGTTAGTCTTTTGTTAGCTGGGAAGCTGGTCTGTTCCCCTGCATGTTCCATTTGTGGCTAGCAGAGCCCTATCAGGGAGACTGGTTTTAACTCTCTTCTGTGTGACTACTTGATGTTTTCACTCCTTCCAGATACTCAGGTTTGCTATCCCTGAGAAGTCTGATGTTTCCAGAGGTCAGGACTATTTGCCCTCTGCAAGAATAGCTGGAGAGCATTTCTTGTTTTATCAGTGCTTTAGTCCAAACACAGTCATAGGATTTTTATCCTGTGAACCCTGCAGATAAAGCTGCCTCCACCTGTTCTGAGAGGGACTTGCCCTTTTTATTTTCTGCTTTCCTGAAAGGAGTGCAAAGATTTTTTTGGCAGCAGACTTTGCTCTGGGATTCAACCTTGCTGGCAGACCCCTGTTCTGCAGTAGGAGCCTTACTCAATTCGGTGTAGCTGTTCCCTGTCCCTAACTGTGACAGGGTTTTTCATGAGTGTACTTTTTTTTGTCATGTGTCTGTGCTGTATTAAATAAAGAGGAATGTACATATTAGCTCCATCTCTGTGATTTCTCACAAAAATAAAGATGCAAAAAGGTTTCAGTTGAAGGGTTGTTGCTTGGGGCTTTTTCTTTTTTTCGCTGTGTTTTGGGGGGTAGGGGTGGTAGAGTGCTGGCTTTCTTCAGTCAGGGTGACCATACAGGCAAAGGGTAATACTGTGAGCAAGGAGCAGCACTTCGCAACTATCAGAGGAGTAGCACAGAAGGGACCTTTTCCCTTTTGGAGTGCGTTAGTCCAAGGCCCAGTCTGGCGCCCCGACCCGCTGACCGAGGCGAGCGACACCCCGGCGCTTGCTCCCCCGCGCTCCCAGGGGGCTCCGCGCGGGGCGGCGCTTCCCGGGCCTTGGCCTCCGCGGGGCTCCGTGACAGGAAGGGGGCGGGACAGGAGACAAGTACCGACGCAGAAAGGGCTCTCTCGCGGCAGCCCCAGTGGCCTAATGGATAAGGCATTGGCCTCCTAAGCCAGGGATTGTGGGTTCGAGTCCCATCTGGGGTGGCGGTTTTTTT